GGTCGCTACGCCTCTGCTTAAACCTACCTTTTCCAACCATAACCCTCCCCCTAATCTAAATCCTAATCACATCCTTAACCATTTCTAACCTAAATACCCCAAAAACCTAAATTATCCTATCCCTATCCGCAAATCTATCTTTAAATGACCAAGTAATAATTAACAGGGGAATTTTCTACTTCATTTTGTTTTGCGGTGGAAGGGGGGTGTAAAGTGCAAGAGTTGGGGTGGGAGGTAATATATATGGGTGTAATGACTAGAGAGGGATAACCGTGTTTAATTGCTAGGGAGTAATGTTCCGCCTGCTCCCTGTAAATTCATCAATAGCTCACCTGTTTTAATAACCTTAAACATATTCGCAACGTACCAGGTGAACGATGTCCAGCAGCTCCCACCGCCGTACCCGTGTCAACAACTGCTCCACAAACAACACGGACCACACCGGCCACAAAACCCAAGGTCACGGACGTTCGTCTACCTAAAAACGTGGTCCCCTCACACTACAATGTGGAGCTTCAGCCCAACATGTACCTGCCTGATCCTGCTAACTTCACTTTTAAGGTAGATTGGTGTAAACGTAGTTTGTCTCTTTGGTACAGAAATCGATAAATTCAAATACAAATTACGTAAAAGAATGTTTACCAAGGATGGAATAAGATACTGTATTATATATATATATATATATATATATATATATATATATAATATACATATATATACATATATATATAGGCTATACATACATACACACATATATATATATATATATATATATATATATATATATATATATATATATATATATATATATATATAGTTATTTAGACCTACAGTTATATATAATTACATATTGTTATATACAGCTAAATGTATTGTTATTATAAATGTTTTTGCATGTGAATTGTTTTACTTTCTATTATCTAGGAATTATGGGCATAAGTAAATACTTCAGCAATTAAACAAAATCTTTCTTTTTGTTGTATGATTTTTTTTACACCCAGGGTTCTGTGAAGATCTGGATAAAATGTATCACTGCGAGTGACAATGTGACGCTACACTCAAATGTTCTGGTGATCGACAACAGCAGCGTCAAGTTTTACCCAGAATCTGGCACTGGGCCTGGTTTAAAATCTCTGGCTATTGATTCAGCTCGACAGTTCTTTATTTTAAAGTTAGACGGGAATATGCAGGTAAGGTACTATTTTCTGACTTAATTAAACATAATTTCTTTTATAAAAAAATGTACACAATGTAACAGAATTTTTTCGGTCCCATATTTCCATATTGCTGTTTCCTTTCCTTTCAGCCAAACAAGACGTATATTATTGAAATGAATTTTAAGTCTCCATTAAAAAACGACCTTGCCGGGCTGTATTACAGTACTTACAATAGAAATGGAACTAAAGTGTAAGTTCTCCACCCATTGATTAGGAAGAATTGAAACTTGTCTAGACAAATTATATTAAACATTTTACTTTTACATTTCTTTATATTTTTTTGCCAAGATAAATTGTAAGCGTTCTTATATAATTCAATATAATTTAATAATATAAACAATTTCAACTACAACTTATCACTTTAAAATTTTGATAGACCAAAAATTAGCATAAAAAAATAATTAACAAACAAAAACGCGTTTTTTTTTTTTTTTTTTTTTTTTGTTTTGTTGTTGTTGATTGCTTTGCCTCTCCTACCACCCACTGTATTTACACTACAAAATGCAGAAAACTCCTATACTTGCCAAGGCAGTACATTTTAGTTACTGTGACCATTACGTCTCTAAACGTACATATTTCAATTTAAAAGTAACAAATGAAAAATCAGCGTGTTTCTATTTAATAAATTCTCACATTCGTGATTTTGTTTTAGCTATTTAGCCACAACCCAGTTTCAGCCAACAGATGCCAGGAAAGCATTTCCATGTTTTGACGAGCCAGCTATTAAAGCAACATTTAATATTACTCTAGTTCGTCCAAGTCATCTAATTTCTATTTCAAATATGCCAATTCTAAATAGTGCCCTACCCTTGTAAGTATAAATAGTTTTGATTGTTAGCAACTATAATTTTATGTTCCTATATATATATTATAAGATTCAACATCATAATAGAATCTGCCAGGATTCATAAAATAAAGTTTTACAAGAATAACTTATAAATAGATTTTGTAATGAAAAAGCTAATTATATCTAGTCTAGATCTATATTAAATATTATAATATTTATGAACAGTAAAATAAAAGTAGCAACCAGAACCAGTAATGCAGCCTCTAAAGTAAAAATGTGTAACTATATTTAATACGAAAAAGATAGCCTATTTTAAAAACAAATTTAATTGATTTTAAAAGCAGTAGTTCACAAATTTATGGTAACTTAACTTAAAACTTAACAAAATTTAAATGATTATTGATATTAGGGGTCATCCATAAATGACGTCACACTCGTAGGGGGGAGGGGGGGGTCCGTAATTTTGTGACGATGTGTGATGAGGGGGAGGGGGGGGGTCAGATGTTGCGTCACATTTTTGCATTATAAAAAAGCAATGTTAGAAAACGAATTTTAGACGTTATTTTGCGTTTTAGATAACTGTTCTAATAAATTGTAATAGTTTAGACAAGATTTTGGAAAAATATCGATGTTTTTAAAAAAATTCAACTGCAATTTTGAGGGGGGTTGTAAGTTGAGGTGTGACGTCATTTTAGTGGGGGGGGGGGGGGTCTGGCTTTTTGTGACGACGTGTGACGGAGGGGAGGGGGGGGGGAGGTAAAAATCGTCAAAAAAAGCGTGACGTCATTTATGGATGACCACTTATTAATATTTATTATTTATTGCTAATTTCAATGTAGACATGTTATTTTTTCACAGTACTGAGGATGGGATTACCTACGTTAAGGATGTTTATCAAAAAACTCCAACAATGTCAACTTACCTGCTAGCATTCATCATTTGTGATTTTGAATATACATCCAATAGAACTAAAAATAATATTCTGGTGTGTATTTATTTGTCTTTTCTTGATAAGAATATTCTATTAAGTAACGATATTCACAAGGTAACTTTTAAAAGTGACTATTTTTAAAATTATTTTTACTCAAAAATCTAGTAAGGCCAATAAAAAAAGCTTTTTTAACCCATAGCAAAGCCTACAATGATGCACCAACCTTACAAATAGATTTTATGTTATACTTTTGGCTGCTAATAAATTTTTAATAAATTTTTATTACTTTCGTTGTGAATGATTTAAACAAGAATTCATTGTAGGTCTATACTGTCACAATGTAATTACACAAACGTATTTGTTTACACGCCATCATCTTAACACTTTCTTTATATCATGATTTAGTACCGTACCTGGGCCACTAAAGAAGCTGTTAATCAAACGCTCTATGCATTGGAGACCGGAGTAAAAATTATCACCTATTTTGAAGAGTTTTTTAATGTATCTTTCCCTCTACCAAAACAAGGTAATGAGTTATAATTTTAACTGCTTGATTACATAAAATAAGTAAAAATATAGCCTACAAAGGGTCACAATTCAGGTAATTCAGGCCTACTATTAATTAATCACCAAGTTAACTATATTTCAAGATATTATTTTTAAATACCTTGGTCATGTCAAAACTATACCCACTGGAAGTTTAATTTGACTTTTTAAAATTTTTCATCAGACATGATTGCTATACCAGATTTTGCTGCTGGTGCTATGGAAAACTGGGGTCTAATTACATACAGGTGAAATAGTGTTTACCAATAATATTAATAGCCTGTGGAAAATAATTGTAACAAAAACATCAACAGCAGTATTTGTATTGTGTAGCTTAATGTATAAAGATTTTTATTTGTGCAGAGTCTATTTCAATTGTATTGTAAATTAGGTTTAGATAAGAAAACAATGTTTCTTTAAATATTTTATGCTTTTAATTCATCTTAAATACTAAAAACTTTATTTTAATATACTTTCTTCTGTGTTTTCAAGTTCTTTTTCTAATCTAATATTCCTTTTAGTAAATCTACTTCAAGACATTTTTTTCTTCTTCTTTTTTTCTTTAAACCTTTTTTCTCTGTTTCTAATTTTTCTTTTTTTAAAAAAATATTCTCCCACAGAGAGACAGCAATGCTGTTTAAGCCAGGCTTTTCTAATGAAGCTAACAGAGAAAGAGTTGCTGTTGTGGTTTCACATGAGTTGGCTCATCAGGTGGGAAGACTTTCTTGCATTTTCTCTTCATTTGAGAAATTACTTAAATAAATTTATGCAACCCGACTAAATTCTAATTTTAAATTTTAATCAAAACCTTTAGTACGAATAGAACTATTTAATTATCAGAACTTACTAGCATGCTCCATTCAGAAAATGAAATACTATTAGTGCCAGTTTTAATTAAAAGAAAAAACCTTATGAATTTTATTTATTTATTTTTGCAATTTTTTTTTCTAAAATCATTTATTTAAATAACTTCTAATAATACACTTTAATTAAGCTTTCAAAATGATGTAGGAATTTTTTAAAATTGAAAATAAAAACATACATTATTTTACTTTTAGAAATATCGTCTTGTTCATTAAATAAGATTAATTTCAACAAAAACAAAATAAAAACAGAATAATACAAAGACTGAAAAGTGTAAGGAATAACACAGACAAAATTCTTGTTCTTTAAACAGTGGTTTGGTAACTTGGTGACCCCTTCATGGTGGGATGACCTTTGGCTCAATGAAGGATTTGCCAGCTTTGTTGAATACTTGGGAGTTAATCATGTTCATCCTGATTGGAACATAGTAAGTCATTTTTATATATTTTAAATATTATTTTATTCATTATTTCTCACCATATTGATGACTATTTTACTTTGATTTCACATTAACACAATCAACGAAATTAATAAATTAAGAAAAAAGTGTATTTCACATGCCAAGATAAGGCTTTGTGATTTTCACTTGTAAAGTATCTAGAAGTTTAAGAGTACAGCCCGACTTGTCAATCAAAGGTTGATTATAAATGTTTAAGAACAATGATAAAGCTGTCTAGAATTATAATTTGTATCAGAACAGAGTGATTTGTGTTTGTTTTGTCTACAGCAGTAATTTTAATAATTGTATCACTTTGAATCAGTATAATACTTTAATGTACAGATTTTTTTTTGCAAAAGAAGCAAAACCTGGTAAAAATTAAATCAATCCCGTACTTAGGGCAAAAAAAAATCTAAAAAAAGAAATGATAGACTGAGTTAAAATTTAACTTTAGACCAAAGTAAAATCTATGGTTGACTTTTAGGATATCAAAATTCTTTGGTAAATTAATGTTTAAGAATGAGAAATTAAATCATTGTTATTTCCAACACAAATGAGCTTTGATTTTTGTTTTAGTATAATGTGTTAGTTGTAAGTGACCTTCAACCTGCTCTTCAAGCTGATGGACTAGTTACATCACACCCTGTCTATGTTCCAGTTGGTCATCCAGATGAGATCAATGAAATATTTGATTCTATATCCTACAGCAAGGTTAGAGTTTTTATTTTCTTCTTGGCTTAAAAACAAAAAAACATTAATAAAACTAAAATATAGACTTTTCTTTGAAGCTCTTAATATTCTAATATTGGGTTCTTATACTTTACAGGGCTGTGCCATTATCAGAATGATGCTTCAGTTTCTTGGTGAGGGAACTTTCAGACGAGGATTGAATGTAAGAATTAATTACAAAAATGTAATCTAAAACAATCGTTGTTTATATATTATGGCCTTTTCACAATTGTGATTTTTTAAAATAAAAATATAATCAACAAAATATTTTCAGAGATATTTATTATCAAGGCAATATGGTGCAGCCTTTCATGATGACTTGTGGACAGCTCTTACTGAGGTAAATAAAATTGTTTGATTTCTTGTGATTTAATTATATAGGAATAAAGAAAGTAATTTGCAATACCTAGGTTGGTGGATAAAATAATTGCATGTGCTACATCATTCTTTGAGATTAAATGGTCAAAACAATCAATGAGAAACTATTTTTAAGACTGATTAATATTTTTAATCATTTTAAAGCAACTCAAATCCACATAATTTCCCCAACTGATGTTTAATGTATCGACAATAAATTTTACAATTATAAAATCTCTCAGTAAATAACAGTATTATTTTATAATAGGTGAAATACAAATGATTTAACTGTTAATTTCAAGTTTTAAATGAACATTAATTTATCTATAGCATAATAAATGTTTTAATATTTTTCAGCAAGCAGCTATTGATGGGAAGCAGAACATAAATGTAAAGACAATTATGGATACATGGACACTTCAAATGAATTATCCTGTTGTCAAACTACAAAGAAGTTATAACTCTGTTACAAAGCTACTGGTATCTCAGAAAAGATATCTGGAAGATTACAATGCAGTTGATCCTGGCAAATATGTTTCTCCGTTTGGGTATATAATATTTTACACATATCTGATGTTATTTAAATGTGGAGAGTGAAAATAACTGACAGTAAAAATTTCATCCTAAACCTATAGTATTATTTTAGGAAAAAGCAATAATGATCACATGTAATGTGAATGTGACTTGTGTCATATTTTTAAAAAAAATATTTTCATAATAGCAGATCATCAGGAGAAAATAAAATAGAAATAATGAAAACAGAATTTACACCAATTCATCTAAAATATTCATTTATTTTGATATCTTTTTAAAAATTATTGATTGCTTGAAACTTATTTTAAGTAATATAATTTCTTATAATATGTATGAGTTACTGATAAGTTTATATTTGAGCTACATATTTTCAATGCATCAATTTTAATGCAACTCTAATTTCTGCAGTTTTTTTTTAAATCCATTAACACCCAATAATATAATTAAACAGTCAAACACTTTTGCTATATATTTAAGAATATATATTAATTTAACATACTGTTGAATATTATTTAAAAATATATATAACAATAAATGTGTTCCTATATTTTTCATAAATCAGTTACAAATGGAATATCCCAATAACAATCACAACCAGTGAAAAACCAAACTTCAGTCAGACAGATAAAGATGTTCTGTGGCTTCATACAAATGAAGAAAGTAGTAAGGACAATGCATAATATTTTAAATTACTTTACTAATTAAAATTTTATGGTACAGAGTGGCTGAGCAGTAGAGAGCTAGGCTGCTAACACAAATTCTAACCTGAAATCTGGGTTCAAGTCAGTAAAATATCCCTGAGTCCATCTAGCTCTGATAGGTACCTTACTTATGCTGACCACAATATCACTCTATATGCCAAGAACTCTGAAGAAAATGAACTCTACTTCATCTGCCCCATGTGTCTTGGGCACTAATGGGAAAAAAAGATGATGAATTGAAATTTTTATATTTTAGAAACGTTAGTTTATTTTGTTTGTTGCTTTTTAAAAAATTTCAAATTGTTTTTTTTTTAAATTATCAGAGGAGATTGATTACAACCCACTTCCCTATGTGTATAATTCAAGTGGATGGATTCTTGCAAATGTTGAAATGAATGGCTTCTATAGAGTCAACTATGCAGACAGTAACTGGGAAGCTTTATGCAAACAACTGGTGGAAAACCATGAAGTAAGGCTTTTATACTTGAAGAAAATTTATTGATTGCTTATTAATCTACTGCATGATTTGCTGCATATCCTAACCATTAATGTCAAATATATGAATTATGGAGTCCATAAATTTAATACTTCTGTGACCATTCAACAAATTCAAAAGATTTCAATTAAAATTTAACTAAAACAAAACTCACTCCTTTCCCTGTGTCTAAAGTTGATACAGGTTTATTAATACATTTTAGGTAATTCCAATAATAAACAGAGCTCAGATAATCAGTGATGCTTGGAATCTTGTTAAGTAAGTCATTCACATATTTAATGAAATTTTATTTTATTTTTTTACAATTTTATCAATTTATCATTCTATTTAAAGGTATTTTGTCTCTTTGTAAATTTAATTTAAAATATGATTTGTATTTAGTTTCAAATTTATATATATATATTTTTTAAATGTGGATATATTCAACTGAAAACATTACAGTCTAACATTTCCAGTTCATCAGTCTCCCTATACTTTAAAAAAATTCCTCTTTAAAATATAGATCAGGTGATTTAAAACTGAACATTGCATTAAAAACAATTGAGTACCTCCATAAAGAAAAAGATTATGCACCATGGGTTGCTGCTAGAACAGAACTTCTCTACACTTCAAGAATGTTGGCTGTCACTCCTTTGTTTGGACTCTTCCAGGTTTTACAAAAATTTCAGAGCTAAACAGTTTTACAATATTCCTTAATAGTTTTAATGATTAAAAAAATTGAACTATTATGTTGTCTTAAATATATGTAAAAAAAATCACTTTCATCACAAAAAACATAGTTAAAATGTGATTACTTATTAGATCATTCTGCTAAATTAAAACCATTAAAAATCTTTTTTTTTAATACAGCCCAATGATTTTTAAATATTTTTTTTTACAGAAATTTATGCAGGAAAAAATCAACAGCTCCTTCCGGGTTGTTGGTTTTGATAATACAGGATCATCTCATACTGACATGTAAATATAAAATGTTTTTTTTTAATGTTGACCAGCACTTTTTCCAAAATAAATTTCACATTTCTTTGTAAAAAAGAACAGGTCATTCTTTAAGAATTTTTTTGCGATTTAATTTTTTTGTGATGACAAATTATGTTGATTATTATATACATTTTGTATATATAGCTCAAAAGAAAATATTGTATTATTTCTTTTTTCAGTTTGGCGCGAAGTCTTATTATCAATATAGCATGTGGATATGGTATACAGAGCTGTGCAGATTTTGCTAAGGACCAATTCAAACAATGGATGGCAAATCCAACTACAAATCCGTATGAATATTTTAAAAATAAATTTCTTATAAATTTGCGATTTTGTAGTTATTTTACTTTAATATTTCTCCACAACTTTGTTATTTTGTCATTTGTGTTTTTTTTTCAACTAGTGGTTGTCTTGCTTTTTTTCTCTACTATTTGTTAACATGAAATGCTAATTGATTTTAAACATTAAAAATTGTATCAAAATAATATTAAAAAGGTAAATAAATTCTGAATCATTAATCATAATAATCTTTTACTATTTATAGAGTAGACCCTAACTTTAGATCTACTGTGTACTGTTCTGCTATTTCAAGTGGTGGATGGGATGAGTGGAGCTTTGGTCTTAAGGTATGTTAGAAAATATCAAACACAAAGGAATATTATAATTAACATCTTAGTTTTTTTTATTAACACAGGAATAACCAATTTTCTATTTGATTACAGATGTACACAGAATCTGATTTAGCCTCTGAAAAGGTTAATTTGCTTTCAGCTTTATCTTGTACCAAGCAACCTTGGATCCTAAACAAGTGAGAAAAAGTTCTTAAATTTTACTTGAAACTTTTACAAATATAGGCAGTTCATAATTATATTAAATATTTAACAAAAATGTACAAAAGACAATATTGGTCATACACAGTGTTTGCATGATTTTATATAGGGTGGGGTCAAAAGGTTTTAAATACACAAACATACATTTTATGTAACAATTTATAGAATGTAAAATTATGTTTTATGATATTTGGAATTATTAATTTGAAAGTGATGGTAATTGCTGTCTGCATAAAACAGTGGTGATTTTTTTCAAGTCACACTAAAGTGACTTATCAGTTTAGTTAAATATTATGAAAAGTTTTGTGGCATACACACTTTTAAAAAAAAATCCATAATAGTTTTAAAGTGATTGAAAAGGAAAAGGTTAAATTTTAATATCTAGTAAACTAATACAAAAACACGAATTGAAGCTGATCATATATTTTTCTGTAATTAAATAATTTCAAACAATCCAGTCATTATGCATTTCAGAAAATATAAAATATGATAATTTAAGAAGTGCAAGATTTTTTTAAAACAATGTATATGATATGGTTATTTACGCTAAAAAGCGTGTAGAATTTTGATACTAAAAGCAATTTATCTCAAATAGTTCTTTCCAAAAGACAGTGGCTATGCTAATGTAGTAAATTCATTCTGCATATACAAAGATTCTTTTTTTATTAATTTTCAAATTTCCTTATAATTTGTATTGTAAAGACTATTCATGTGTAGCTGAATTTAGGCTAAATATTTTAACATATATAGGTAATTTTAATTGGTTTGCAGAGTTTTTACCACAGGAGCTTTGAACTTAGCAGCTTTGATCATATGTGCACAGCTGTGGTCCAACCAAATGGTCAAAGCCCTTATTGTCAAAGCACCTTAAACTTTTAATTATAATCTATGTATATTTTAAATTTATTTTACATAAAAAATATTTCAAATAAACATTTTCAGCTTCCTGTCGCTGGTAGTAGAGAAGGACTCAGTCATTCGCAAGCAAGATGCCTTAAATGTTATAACATACATCTCATCAAATACAGTTGGTCGATCACTTGCTTGGAACTTCTTTAGAGCAAACTTCCAACATCTTAAAGACACGTACGTTTTTGTTTTTATTTTCAACTTATCTAAATTATGAATTTTTTTAACAAGATAATTTAATAAATTATATTTATAACATTCTTTTTTGTTATTAGTATACATGGTATACATGGTATATTTGTTTGCCTCTCTAAGAATTAATGAAGTATTTATTCAGCATGACAGTTTGTTATAGATTGTCTATTTTCAAAGTTTTAATGTTTGTATAAAATTAAAAATTACATCTACTTATAGATTTGGAGCATCGTTTTTCTCATGGTCTAATGTGATAGATGCAATCACCAGGAATTATAATACAGAGTTTGAACTTAGTGAGGTATGGTTTATCCACATTGGTTTATTCAAATATTTCTTTTAAGTGTGAGAACAGATGATTATCATGCATACAGTAACAGGATGAAGTTCTTTATTCTTTAACACAAAAATGTTTTTAATTAAAAAAACATTTTAGATAAGGCAGTAAAGAATAAAAGCAGAGGCGTATCCAGGTTTTCGTTGTAGGGGGAGCGAAAAGAGCAAAAAAAGGCGCCGAATTTTTAACACGTTCTATATACGTGTATTATATATATATATATATATATATATATATATATATATATATATATATATAATTACTAGCTGTATGTCATTACTTCGCTATGATGTAAAGTAAATTGAAAGTAGCACTCTGAAGAAATAAGAAAAAACACACAATGTAGGTCGACAAAACAAAAAGTGTATCAATCTAAACAAAAAAAGTATACATATATACACACACTACAACTAAAAACAATGAACGTAACACAATCTGTTTTGTAATTCTTGTAAAAAAATAATTAATTCTTACATAATAATTCCTGGGAAATTATTTAAGACAAGTGAAATAGGGGAAATAATCACTCTCTTAATATAAATATGTATATATCTACACATTTAATTATAAATGTCAAAACAAATAAATAATTACTTTAGAATATAATGAAATTGTTTAACACTATTCGTGTTTACAAAATGTTTTTGTCTATATTCAGAATTTAATATATCGTCATCATAAATGCTAAAGTATTACAGCATGATGAAAGTTTTTAAAATCAGAGGTGGTATAAAAGCACGCTTTTCGTTATAATAGAAAAGCATTCGGAATAACAGCCTACATTTAATTAAATATCGGTATATCATATATTTTATTAACTACTGCTTCTTTGTGTTCTTTAAAGATCGTTTTTTAACATAGTGATAGGTATGGGTTAGATCACTGTATTGATCACACACCTTTTTACTGGTAATTGCAAAAACAATTTTCACAGAGTTTTACGTGATGACGTTGTTGACCTTATCAAAATTTCCCCACCACTACCCATTTTGCTCATAAGAAAATTTAAATAGAGGTGCCACATCAGTTGTATTTGTTTCTGTATTGTAATTTTTAAAGAATCAATCACATGATTCAAACTGTATATATAAAGTAATTATGTGTGAAGTTTTACGCATAACATTTTCTAATTCAATATTTCGTAAGAAAATACATTATACAGTTGCCTTAAACTTAACAATCCTCTTGCCAAGTGGTACTACCGTAGAGGTTTTTTAAACATTGCAATGCATCGTAAGGGTTATTTTTAGTATGGCAAACTGATGCAGCTGTTAATACGTGTTGTAAACGTAGACACTACTAGACTAGTACAGTAATGCTTAATTGCTGCATGAAAAGAAATCTTGTGATTTACATAGATGAGCCGATCAAAAATATTTTTTTAACAAATATCATTGTTTAAAACTTTGAGTTTAAAAAGTTTCCAAAAAGGCGCCACTTTGCTGAAAATGGCCAGAGGGGGAGCAGCCGCTCCCCCTGCTCCCCCCCCCTGCGTACGCTACTGAATAAAAGAACTATATATAATATAGAAATATATAAAGAACTAATAAACTAGTAATTGGATATAATCAATGAATAGCGCCTAATCCTAACATTAAAATGGCCATTTATAAAAGAACAAAACCAAACATATTCATGGATATGACTCACAGAAATAACAATATGTTGTACATTGCAAAACTAATAATTATTAGCATATACCATTGCTAATTACATTATCTGAAAATTATCTTTTTTAAAAGATGGAAAACAAATAATTGACTAGAGCTTCATTGTTGATTATCCAAACTTTTCTTTATAGGTAAAAGCTTTCTATGCAAGCCAAGAAGGCAAATTTGGTTCTGGTGAAAGAGCCATGCAGCAAGGCATTGAGAAAATTTCTTCCAACATCAAATGGATGGAAACTAATCGGGGTGTCCTTAAGACTTGGCTAGACGATGTCACTTCACAATAGACTACAGGCTATATTAAAAATGTGTATTAAGTAGGCTTGTATATTTATATAGGTAGATTTGTAAATGTGTGCATATATAGAAATTTATATATATATATATATATATATATATATATATATATATATATATATATATATTTTTTTTTTTTTTTTTTTTTTCTGTATATACATGCACAAAGCCTATTTACATTTTAAAATATTTGATAGACTTTACTTTCACCACCTGCTTTATTTGTAGAAATTAATACAGATTACAACAAGAAAACATGCTAAAATTATGTAATCCCAATGTTGTTTTTTATTTTGTTGAAAATCAAAATGGACTAAGAAAAACAGATTCAGCAATGATTTTTCAGAAAATGAAACAAAAGTTTGCTTGTACAGTTTGTTCATAAAAATATAAACATACAGTAAAGAAAATTCTGCATTATTTTAAATTCTTGAATAAACTAAATGCATTGATTTGAATTAACAGATATGAGTTGTAATAACTTATTTAAATCAAAACTGTTGTAACTGTTGATATACCCAGCTAATGACTTAAAGAAATTGAAATATTCAAATCTACACAAACTTGTATGCAACCAGTTACACTCATAAATCCTATACAAATTTTAAAATTTCAACTGTTAATTTACAAATGCTCAGGTCTTTTATTTTCATGTCAAATTTTGTTTTTTTGTTAATTCCAACAGCTGCCTTTTCAAAAAGTGTTCAGTAATCTTTTTGATGCATTATGTTTTTATATGTAAGTTGAAAATTTTAAAACTGATAGCAAAAGTAGGTCATTTATGTGGTTTTATATTTATGTAAAATTGTGATTTAGATAAATACTGCTTCAAATCTCTAAAATATTATAACATGACTAGCGTACCCGTCCCACGCGCGTTGCCGCGGGGATAGAAGAAAGTTTGACGAAATTTATTAGAAGGATTTCACCAACGCGTTACCAATCATATGTTCTTAGACGCGTGACAGTCTTTTCTAAAAGTGAGTTATTTAAATGTAAACAATGACTGCGCTTGGATCATAAATATCGGGACACGGGTTTACCTACACTACCGCATGAAAACTTGAGTGTACATTAATCACTCACCGAAATAATATGTTATAAAACACTTCGGTGACCGCCCATGTGTCAGAGACGTACAGGGTCGCTCTCAGGGCCCCCAACCCCCGATTACACTACCGGTACCGCATAGGCGCGGCGTACGACCACTGGCTCCTTAAAAGTAATAGGCGCAATCGTACCAAATAGCATCTTGTTAATAATGATGCAGATTTCATCATTCGCTAAAGTGACACAAATGAACAGGATTTTTTTCTTTAGCACGTAAAAAAGTATTTGACATGTTTTAAACTTCAGTGTGACTGATGCAATATGCTAGCGTTACTAATGGTCTATTATTAGATGCTCGATCTCAATTTCTGACTGGATTGTCTAATAGTAGATGCTTATTGCATCATTCGCAAAGTGACGAAAATCTACAGTAGGCTCCTCATATTCAAAAAGTTATTTTTTCATATTTGGCAAAGTGACGAAACTGTACAGAAGGATTTCCTCGCGTTACAAAGTTATTTTTAGAAGACTGTTGTAGTTTTACCGCTGAATATAGTAGTACCGCTTACTCGCTATGCAGGACGCTCGATTAACTGATGCCAAGTGCCAACATAGTCGCTCTAAAACTCTGGGCGCCAAACCGTGTATTGACGAAAGTTGTACCCTATATGGCGCCGCCCATAAGAAACTTTAGTTTTCCTTTTCGCAGAAATATTCTACTTCCTAAAGTTTCATGGCACTCGGATGAACCTCATCTGAGTTTTATTTTTTATATACTGTGTATAGAGAAAAAAAAAATCGCTCCCCCCCCTGGGGGTGCCGCCCTTGCAATATTAAACAATATTTTTTTGCAGAGCCCTACCATTAAGTGATCTAATCATCCCCCCAAAGTTTCATGGTACACGGATGAACGATGTGAAACCGAAATAGACTTTTATTTTTATAAACCGTATATAGAGAAAATATGTAGCCTCCCGTGGCGCCGCCCTTGCGAATTTAAAAAAGGATTTTTTTTTACAGAACCCTTCCCTGAATTGTTCTAATCAACTCCCCCAAAGTCTGATGGCTATCGGATAACGGTGTCACACCGAAATCGACTTTTTAAAAAATATACCGTATATAGAGAAAAATCGCACCCTTCCGTGGCGCCGCCCTTGCGAAATTAAAAATGATTTTTTTACAGAACCCTTCCCTAGAGTTTTATAATGAACTCCCCAAAGTTTCATGCCTATCGGATGAACGGTGTCACTGCAATTCACTTTTATTATTTTTATATACCGTATATAGAGAAAAATAGGACCCTCCCGTGGCGCCGCCCTTGCGAAATTAAATTTTTTTTTTTACAGAACCCTTCCATAGAGTGGTATAATGAATTCCCCAAAGTCTCATGGCTATCGGATGAACGATGCCAAACCAAAATCGACTTTTATTTTTATATACCGTATATAGAAAAAAACAAATCGCGTCGTGTCGGGGCACCACCCCTGCGAATTTGAAATTTTTTTTTTCGCAGAAATCTCCCCATGAATATTTTCAACAACTTCCTAAAGTTTCATGGCAGATCGTGTGTCAGAACGGTGTCACGGCAATTCACTTTTATTATTTTTATATACTGTATATAGAGAAAAATCGCACCCTCCCGTGGCGCCGCCCTTGCGAAAATAAAAATGATTTTTGTACAGAACCCTTCCCTAGAGTGTTCTAATCAACTATCCAAACTTTCATGCCTATCGGATAAACAGTGTGAAATCAAAATAGACTTTTATTTTTATATACCGTAAAAAGAGAAAAATAGGACCCTCCACTGGCGCCGCCCTTGCGTTATTAAAAATGATTTTTTTACAGAACCCTTCCCTAGAGTGGTATAGTGAACTCCCCAAAGTCTCATGGCTATCGGATGAACAGTGGGAAATCAAAACAGACTTTTATTTTTATATACCGTATATAGAGAAAAACAAATCGCGCCCTGCCGGGGCGCCACCCCTGCGAATTTGAAATATTTTTTTTCGCAGAAACCTCCCCAGGAATATTCTCAACAACTTCCTAAAGTTTCACGGCGATGTGATGAGAGGTGTAGCAATGCATAAAGGACACACAGACACACACACACACACACATTGCTTTTTATATATATAGATAATTTAGACCAATTTTTCCTGTATTCAGATGCATTTTTTTTTGCTTTTCAAAATAATCAGATTAATGTGATTAATTTCTGTATTTATTATTCATGAGATCTTTGAGATCTTTCTAAGAAATCCTCAAAAGATTAAAATCATTTTGTTATTATATCTATATTATAATATTTTAAAAATCAATATAACTTTTTATTGAAAAGATTTTTTTGAACTTCAACTTAACTTTTTAGTTATATGATTCATGATACCAAAGAAAATATATCTATATTATTAATATTCTAATTGATGTACATTTTGTTATTTGGTTTTATATTTTTTCTACACTACATAATGACGGTATATAATTAATGAATTTTAAACTAATTTGTACTGTAAATTAAAAAAGAAGTCTCATTAGAACGAACTTTATAACAAATCTCTTTCACTGAGTGTAAATGTAAATCTATTCTTTTTAAGATTTTAAATCAAGGTTTTGTTATCAAACTTATTTCTTGCCTCAAATACCTCCAACAAGTGAATATTTCTAGCAGTTTTAATAGCAAGCGTTGGCAAAAGTACTTAGATTTTCAATCCTACCTTGGTGAATATGCGGACTTCATATAACATTCTATTAATATATCAGAAATAATGTAAATTCTTATACAATACTATGGTATAACAATATTAAAGTATTGGGTTGTTTGTATTTTATGTATATGTGTAAACTTTCCTGTTTTTATATTCATTATTAACATATATTTCAAAGCTTAATAAATGAATTATTTTGTTTTGACTATTTTGTTGATTAAATTTTAAATACCCGATTGGTCTGAGTACATGTTTCAATTTCTGTCTCATTTAAAAAAAAATAGTGTTGTGAATTCTTGCTCAGCCTCTATACACGCTATAGTTAAAACAGCTTAATCGTGCATATAATAATAAAGTAATAATAAATTAACAATATAACATTAGATCAGAGTTTCTTCCAGGCATCTCTTCTGGGGGCTCAGCCCCCCTTCCCCCAAAGTAAGTCAACCCCCACCCCCGAACGAAATAGAATTTATATAGAAAACATACTTTTACCGGTGTCCGCCCCCCCCCCTCCGGAAAATGTTGTCCCCCTCGAAAAAATCAAGTGCCCGCACCGCCCCCCCCCCCCCCCTAACGAATTGAGGGGCTGGTTTACCTAGAAAAGACGTGTTTTCATAAATCAAGTTGACCTTTTCGTGTGTGTTGTCCTCGAGTACAGGTCACCGCTCTGTTACATAGATAGATCTAGTTAACACACACCTCTCCAGCGGGACATATTTTAATGGATCAAATCTGTTTGTTTAGACCGTGTCCAAAAATTGTGCACGCATTTTAATATCCGAAGACGCCTTTGTATTTTTAACATAAATTTATACAAAATACAGCAAGTTTTCATGTTCTTACTGTATTTGTGTATAATTAAACTACATCAGTAAATATTTATTATTTTCCTAAGTGCGATCAAAATAAAGGGAATTTTTTTTTCAATTAGCTCAATGAATAAGGCGTGAGTAAACTCCCCTAAACATTCTTGTGTATTTTCGTGGGGGTTGGGATGGCATTTCCAGTAGAATCAGGCTATGGTAATGGTACGAATGTTTGTGACAAAAAAAAAAATCATTTTTCGAGAAAAAAAAAAGTGAAAACTTCTTAGAATATGCTGCTTTATTTCATTTTATATTTTCAAATTCTAAAGGTTTTTGAGAAATTGGAAATAGAGTAAAGTACCAATTCTGGTTACGGGAAATCTCTCAAAGTTGATAGAAACATATGAATATGATCTGATATTTAGGCTATTTGAGAAATGTAGATGACCAAAATAAAAAGTTACTGAAGTTATCGTATTCACTCACACTCATAGATCTACACAGACAGACAAGCTTGCGGAACTAGGTTTTCCGACTTAGTTAGGATGCTGGTGTAAAACGATATCGAGTTTTTGCAAGATCACTATATTTTGCTCTGTCTATACTCCATAAATGAAAATGTAAAAATAGACCAAGAACTGCATAAGCTATTTTTAAAAAGCCGTCCACTTTTCTAGAGTATATTCCAATGCTACTGACTTCAATTAGGATGCATTACTAGATTACCTTCTAATTAAGCTGTGTCAGCAGATTCGTCCCACCGCGCCGTCCCAACCTACTTCAATTAACGTTATATAAGAAAACTGTAATAATAATCAAAGTGAAAGGCTTATGGGTCTACTACCCCCAACAAGTGTAACACTATATCTATGTGCGTCTACAAATATATGTCTACTACCCCTAAGGGGGGGGGGGGTCACCCATAAATGACGGTCACACATCGTCACAAAAAGCCAGACCACCCACCTCATAAAATGACATCACATCTCAGCACACAAGCCCCCTCAAACATGCAGTTCAGACTTTGTAACATTGTCTGAGCTCAGTCAACATAGAGTATTTTAATCACTTTCTATTATAATTCATTCAAACCGTTTTCTAAAACGCGAAATAACGGTTGAAATTCAATTTCTAGCATTACTTTTTTAAAATGCAAAAGTGTGACCCCTCACCTTCATCACAAAATTATGGACTCTTCTCTCTAAGTTGTTTCACATTGAAAACGAACACACATTTTCACAGTATAAACAGCAAGCGTCATTCAAAGACACGCACAATTCTAAAATAATCGTAGCTTGTTTGTGGCTTGTACTAGTACAGGTACGGATCCGCGAAGGTTGTTGTTAAGTAAATAGCCGAGTTGGGATAAACACGAAGGTATTTATTGGGGAAGTCAGCTAGGCATAACTGTGCTGTGTGTTTTTAAGTTGATTTGTTTTAGCTTTTAACTGTTGTATATAGTACGAGATTTATGTAGTTCTGACTAACCATCAGTAAGGAGGCGTTACAAAATTAATTATGTGTTGCTAGTGCATATAAGTTAGGGCAGCGGTTCTTAACCTGGGCTCCACCTAACCACAGTTGTTCGGTAAGTCTGTCTTAGGGGTTCGGTGAAGGTCAAGACACACACAACTCATTCGATTCAGTATCGACATTTTTCAATGTGGAAGATATAAGTTTGATATAACTATAAAGTAGGGTTCTGCAAATGCGCATATGAAAATTTGAGGGGTTCGGTACCTTTAAAAATGTTAAGAACCATTGAGTTAAAGCTAAGTATTCAGACATATTCTCCCTAGGCCATAGAAGAAGATGTTATCTAATAACGCGATAACAACAAAAACCAGGTTAATTGTTTTGCAGCAATTTTGCTTTTCTTTTATAATTTTCTTTTATAGCATAATAGACAAACATAAACACTAAAACGACTTTTTGAAAACATGTTTTTATACACAACACCTATGTCTTTCCAATGATAAAAAAACATTTATTGAAGTCTTAGCCTTGTGGTTTTTACTTCAATTGAAGTTTTTAATTTCTCGATTATATGAATCAGAAATTGTGTCAGAACAACGTTGAAGTTTTTAAAAGATACAGTTGATCCAAATCTCTGGACTATGTTCCATTGTTAGGCACATCCCGACATGCCTTCTCAGAAGTTCGAACTTTCAGATCTCTCCAACAGCCAGACCAATCTAACAAACATGACTGAGAAGAAAAATGGTTGCTATGTCAGCTCCGTTTTTGGGTTCATCTTGATTCTCCTGGCGGCCGCCATAGCTGTGGGTGTTGGAATAATTGTCCATTTCGTTGGAGGGAACAAGGTCGTCGTCTGCAAGTTTGACTCGTCTGTTGGTACTGCCAGCGCCATCTGGAGGGAGTGCATCAGTCTATCCAGCTCAGGGAACAAAGATGTTTGTAAGTAGCGGGTTTTGTCTGATTCGTAGAAGGATTAGTTTATATCTGATTTGTGGAAGGTGAAGTTTATGTCTGAGTGGTAGAAGATGAAGTTTATATCTCATTTGTAATATGTGAAGTTTATATCTGATTTGTAGAAGGTAAAGTTTATATCTGATTTGTATAATGTAAAGTTTATATCTGGTTTGTAGAAAGTGAAGTTTATGTCTGATTTGTAGTTGGCATAATGGAAGTTTCGATCCAAGGTCTTCGTCAGCTCACAACAGTGAGGTAGTAAACAAAAAAAAAGGCTCATGTCGTACAACAAATTAAATTTTGAAAACATCGTATTAGTTATTCATTTTTATAGGGAAAAATAGATGGAAAATGGTTAAAATGGGTAAATCTATTTTGACAAACATCAAGTTGCTGTAATTAAAGCTAATTATGTTTAATTGCTAGCAATTAGTAGATACACTAATATTATGCAATTTTACAGTGTTAATTAATTATGCATATTACTTATGTCATGGGCAGGTGGACGATGCCCGGCTAGTCCCACTACCAACTTACCAATGTCAACGCCCTCTCCGTCAACACTGACCACACCGGCAACAAAACCCAAGGTCACGGACGTTCGTCTGCCTAAAAACGTGGTCCCATTACACTACAATGTGGAGCTTCAGCCCAACATGTACCTGCCTGATCCTGCTAACTTCACTTTCAAGGTATCTTAAAGTAAACTGTACATTTTCATTTTTTTTCCAAGTAATCTTTGTTTCAAAGGTTGTTTCTTCCAGAAAGAAAAAAATAGCAACAACAATTCAATGATAAATACATTTTATATCAATCTTTCCGTTAAGTATTGTGTAACAGAATTCCAAATATTAACTTAGATTTTCGGATTAAAGAAAAGTCTCTGCATTATTTTTTAAAATTTATTTTGTCAATGCAGGGCTCTGTAAAGATCTGGATAAAATGTATTACTGCAAGTGACAATGTGACGCTACACTTTAATATTCTGGAGATCGACAACAGCAGTGTTAGGTTTTACCCAGAATCTGGCACTGGACCTAGTATAAAATCTCTGGCTATTGATTCAGATCGACAGTTCTTTATTTTAAAGTTAGACGGAAATATGCTGGTAAACATGATAATTTTACTTACCTTATCTTCAAACAATACATATCAAGTTTAATAGATTTAAATTAGATACATATCGTGATTTGTGTGTGTATGTAATGTCTGATCTAAGTATTCGTCGATAAAAAACTAGAATTTTATTTTCAGATAGATTTGTAAATTGACTACACAAGCTGTCCTTAAAAGCCCCCCCCCCCACCCCACCCAAAATCTAAAAAACCTAATCAGAGGCGTAGTGACCTATTCCGGCGCCCAGGACGGACTATCAATTTTTTTTCACCCCCCCCCCTCTTTAATTTCTATATGTAGTTATTCCTGTCTATATAAAACAGCCTCACCCCCTTCAGTTGGAAAGAGTTTGTTGCGCTTTTTACCAATTACAATCCCGTAACATTTTCAGTGCCACTAAAAATGATAAAGAAAATAGTTAAATCAGTGTGTAAAACCTTGTAACTTTTCGTAATTTTGATTGTGTATAATTCGATACTTCAGTTTAAAACGAGGTTTTAAATTAATTTTTCTACACCTTTTGGCGCCCATTTGGGGTCGGCGCCTGTGGCGGCCGCACCAACCGCCCTCCCCTAACTACGCCACTGAGCCAAACGTAGTGAATGCTACATACGATAATTCTACCGTTTGAATTTCAATAGTATAAATTTATTTTATATACCAATACACAAATCAATTCCTTTTAAAAAAAAAACTTTATCATAGGCAGACAAAACCTACATACTAGAAATGACTTTTGAGTCTCCTTTAAAAAATGACCTAAATGGACTTTATTACAGTAGCTACAATAGAAATGGAAGTCTTGTGTAAGTATAATCTTTGTATTGTTTCATTTAATACAGAATAAATGACTGTTCCAGCTTTAAAAACAAAATTTAAACCAACAAAATATTATTCTATAGTTATAACGTTCGTGGTTTGTGTTAGATGATAAATGATGGATAATAAATATCACACTTATATTGAATACAAATTAGTATTAGTATGTATTAGATCCACTGGGGATAATGTTCAGATGACAAGTGATCATTATAAAATAAAATCATTGTTCACACAGGCAAGAAAAAAAATTATAACATAACGGTAAACTACTGTAACGGTGCTTGAGTGACAAAGCTATTTCCTTTGTATATTTTGAAATACTTGTGTTGTGTTATCAAACATTAAGAGTGCGCGGAGTTGTATAGACTATAGAGATATGCCATTTATGATTTAGATCTATAACATTTATTTACATGTAGTAACTAGAACAATTTTTGATGATTAAGCTAACAAATCACGTTTAACCAATTTCGATAAGTGGCAGCAAATACTTTAAAAAAATGTGATACACATTTTTTATATTTAATCTCACAACATCTTCTAGTAGGTTTTGTGTATGGAGTTTTGGTCGGTTATAAAATAGCAGAGGTGGTTATCTCAAGAATATATACACGGCTTACATATATATTAGGCTTACATAATGTATCGTGTGTGTTGTGTTAGAACAAATGTCAAATTTCGTGTTATATTTAATAATTTGTATACGTTCAGTTAGGATCTATTTTGCCAATATCTAACATCTAGAGAAATATTTTTTTGTCGCGATAGACGTTATGGGATTTAAAAGAAATAAATTAATTAGATTTACAAAATTTACTTGATGACAGATTCTAAATACAAATTATGTTGACGCTCACATTGTTTTTATTTTTTATTCAGCTACTTAGCATCAACTCTGTTTGCGCCCACTGATGCCAGGAAAGCATTTCCGTGTTTTGATGAGCCGGCTATCAAAGCTACATTCAATGTTACACTCGTTCGTTCAAGTCATTTAATTTCTCTATCCAATATGCCAGTGTTAAGCAATAGTGCTTCATAGTAAGTGGGCTATAAGACACGATATTATTGTATATAACACCTCAAACTTTATTTTATCAAATTTGCGTTGTTTTTTTTAAATTTTAAAAATTTCTATTCTAAGTAATCTGACGATTTTTATTAAAAAGATAATAAGGTCTAAAGAACATTTATTTTAGAATATAGATTTGATTAGGGTCTATTTTTAAGTAATATGTTAATAATTTCGTTCTTTCTAAGAAATGACATAACAAAGCAAAATACGAAATACAACTTTGGTAGACTTTTTAAAAGCACAATTGTTCCTTCAAATAATAGAAGTATTTCATGTATTTAATATGATATATTCAATTCTGTAGATCTAAGATGTAGAAAATTTAGAATAATGGATCTAACATTTGAAAAACATCATTCGTTATTCTATTAACCCTTTGAGCCCGCCAGTCCGGTAAACCGGCTTCAACATTAGGCATATATGTCCGAAAAGCCGGTTTTCCGGCCCGATGATCTAGCGTCATATTCCTAGCGGCCGGTATACCATCTAATCTATAATATAACGCTGCTGGTAGTGTGTCAGTCCTTCCTTCCTTCCTTCCTTCCTTCCGTCATCGCTATAGATTTTGGAACCATAAAAGTAAACATTCGCACCATGCTGTGCTTTTCAGAGCACCGCAGTGTCTTATTATAAGTATTAGAGTAGGGTTTGTTTATATAGCGGCATAGAGCTATTTTATAATTGCCACGGTTTTTACTCTTTCGCATAACGTCAAGAAAATATTAAATACACGCAAACTGCTAAAACGTATTAAAAAGATTAATGTCAAATATCATTTTCGTTTAGGCTCCCAGAAAAAGTGGATACATTTTAATAAGATAATAACAGTACAGTAGAAAAATCAAATTAATTTAACTCTTTTCTAATTTTGACAAAGGAGGTAATTTAAAAATACATTAAACTCACGCTAATAAAAAAATGTGAATGCAAATATACGTTCGTCATAGAAGGAATTAGTGTTGCAATAATATAATTAGCAAAATGTGAATGCAAATTATTCGGATGTGTAAGAGGAAATTATTGTTAGAAAATTATAATTAGCATGGATTGATAAAAGGCAATCTTTTATTTATTTTATTCACTGAATGTAGGCCATACTATTTATTACTTATAATTTTTAATCAACTATTCAGCACTATTATAGGCGCGTCATCACGTTCATTAGGTGCGCAATGGTTTTAGTTATGAAACTCTATTGTAAATTTTTAAAATTTTTAAGTACTGGAAAAAAATGCGTGAATGGATAAAGTGAAATATTGTATATATTATAGATACTGCCTATTATTTTATACTGTTTTCTAATTATTATTCTATCTTTCGGGTTTTATAGGAAAGGCGTAGCGAGAGGGGGGGGGGGCATATGTCCCCGGGTGCCGACCTTAGGGGGCGCCAAAGTGGGTTGGAAAAAATTTGCGAGGGGGGGGATGGTGGAAATCGAAAGTTTTAGGGCGGGGGGGGGGGGGGAAGGTGAGGTAGATTGTAATGACTGACGAGAAGCCGCGTTGGTTGTTAACAGCCTTTATTATGTACAGACGCCATCATGCAAAGAGAGAGGGAGAAATGGCGAGAGAGAGCTATTTATAGATAACAACATGTAAGGGACATCACTCAAGATAACAATATAAATATAATACTAATACAGAGAGTGAGTTCCCTTGACCTCACAATTAACTCAATCTATTACAGAAGGGGTGCAAATCGAAAGTTTGAGGGGGGTGCAAATCACCGGAAAGGGCGCGATTTGGCGCTACGGGCTAGTCTGTGAGCAATATGCCTTTATTATTGCATTTAAATTGTGTTTATGTTATGAGTGTTGTGTTTGTTTTTTCGTTTTTTTTTGCGTTCGTTTGTGTTGTGTTTAGTTTTGTTCTGTTCCCAAGTTGGTACATTTAAAAAAGATTTACCGTGGCGGAGCACGGGATGCAGCTAGTTAAATATAATTAGCGGAAGACTGACTAAAACTGCGCATATGTCTTTTTAGTGCGTGATTATGATTCTAAAAATAGATTTTAGGAAAAGTGAAAGTGTTTACATTTCGTAGCAATGCCGCCGAAACGAAAAGCTGAGCCACAGCCATCGACTTCAGCACATAAAGTTGGTGCAAAAGATGAAGCAAAAGACCGAAATATCAACAAAAGAAGTAGAATAACTGCATCTCAGGCAATACAACTACTTATTGATTCTGATGAAGAAGATAATATTCCTGGTCTATATTGTGATGATAGTGACGTTGAATTTGAGACTGAACACAGTGACATTGAAATTGACAGTGACAATGAATCTGTTCAAGTACGTTCTGATGCACGTGGTGTCAAGGACAAAGACTTGCCGAAACGAAAAAAAAAGTTTACTAGTGCAAAACATGCGAAGTTTTCCTTTGCATCGGGTCCGGCAGTGATAACTGTTTTGAAAGTTATCACACAAAAGTGGGCTTTTGGCGATGAGCTAGTATGGCCAGGTATCAATAATAACAAAACAATTACTAAATGTAAATTGGCTTCTTCTATGTTCTATCAAAACAATAATTATGTGTTCGTTTTATATACATTGTTCTGTTCAAACATTGTAAAAAAAGAAAAGAATTTCAGAATCCTGCTGCATTGTTGTTTGATCCCGAGTCTAGATACCAACTTTGGCTTGATTATCTCAAACGGTTCAAAAGTTATAGGCAAAGTTAGAAGCAGATAAGTGAAAATCGGTTTGGGCCTGGGAGCTCAGGAAATAGGAGAAATTAGGTCAAGGAGGCCAGGGCTCAAAGGGTTAATACACAATATATAATAAATTTTTAAATTGATTATTCTGATCTAGACAGCCGTAACATTCATAGATCTAGAATCCTAGTTTATTTGATGCTTTTTAAGTTTTAAAAATTACTACATTTCGACAATATGGCATATGAGGAAGCATACATATCTTTATTTCTAAAACTAATCCAAACAAAACTTTTATAGATGTTTATACTGTCTAGTAAAAATATGTTATTTACCTCTCCTGTTTCTGCTAGTGATGAAAATGGGGTTACATACATTAAAGATGTTTATCAACAAACCCCTTTGATGTCAACTTACCTGTTAGCATTCATCATTTGTGACTTTGAATACACATTCAACACAACTAAAAATAACATTTTGGTCTGTATTTTAAATTTATTCTCATAATGCTAATCCCAAACATTGTATTATTATTTTAAAATCAGCAGAAATTAAAAACGTTATGTAATGTAAAATTAAAAATCAAAAGATCTAGTAGTATGTTGGTTAACATGTTTACTAAACTTTAACCAATACTTGAAATAATCTTCAATGGGCCATTAAACTAAACATAAAATTAGTTATGAAAAAAAGTAAACTATAAAGGCATATACACACACATATATATATATATATACAGGCCTATATATATTTGCAAAACTAAGTAAATTATAAATATATAAATATAAATAAAAATATATATATGTATATATATATATATGTATATATATATATATATATATATATATATATATATATATATATATATATATATATATATATATATATATATATATATATATATTGATAAACAAAACTGTAGGGTTTGCTTATTTTGTTGGCCTTAGTATCGTGCATGGGCAGCTAAAGAAGCTATCAATCAAACAACCTATGCCTTGGAAACTGGTATAAAAATTATCACATATTTTGAGGAGTTTTTTAATGTGTCTTTCCCCCTACCAAAACAAGGTAATGTATTTTCAAACTGCCATAAATAGTTTAAAATTAAGATTGTTGAGTAAAAGCTTAAATAGGTAGTCTGATTAGCTTTATATGCATTGGGCCTTACTTGTATCAAACAGTATCCAGTTGATAATTTTTAATGGAGTTGTCTTTAACAGATATGATTGCAATACCAGACTTTGCTGCTGGTGCTATGGAGAACTGGGGTCTAATTACCTACAGGTGATTTTGTTTACAAATATACCATTTTGTAAAAAAAAAAAAATGAGAAGTCAAAATAGTGGGAAGAATTAAAGATATTTTTAAGCAAAACAAACCTGCAAATAAGCAAAGGCACACAAAAAGTTGTGTTTTGTAATAACATTTTCAAACGATACAGTATGTTACAGTAAAATATTTAATTTTTAATTAATATATTTTTCAATTATAATTACATTTTATTCATCTTCACATAACATTACTTGTTCATTTTCCCATTATAATAATCATTCTTTTTAAAATAATACCAATTTTATTTATACAAAATGTGTATTTTTCTTTGACTTAGAGAAACAGCTATGTTATATAAACCAGGGATTTCCAATGAAGATAACTTGGAAAGAGTTGCTGTTGTGGTATCACACGAGTTGGCTCATCAGGTTTGAGTTCTTTTACCATATAATTTTATGATTGAAAATTTTAAAAATAATTTATAATAATAATTTTATTTTATTTTGTTAGGATCTTAATCATTAAAATGATACTTAAAGATTGCAGATTGTAATAAATAAAAGGGGTACTAAAGAATTGTCATTCTTCATATCTTATATTTAATTATTAGTACAATTAAGGCTACTTTAGACTATTGAGCCAAATTGAGCAAGTAAAAGAAAATCTAACATGATTGATCTTTCATCAATAAATATATTAATTGTATTAACTTAAACAGTGGTTTGGTAACTTGGTGACCCCATCATGGTGGGATGACCTTTGGCTCAATGAAGGCTTTGCCAGCTTTGTTGAGTATTTGGGAGTTAATCATGTTCATCCTGATTGGAACATAGTAAGTCATTTTTATATATTTTAAATATTTTTTAATTCATTATTTCTCACCATATTGATGACTATTTTACTTTATACTTATATTAACACAAATGAAACAATTATTTAATAAAGGAAAAAGTTATTTCACATTCCAAGATATTGCTTTGTGCTTTACACTTGTGGAGTATCTAGAAATTGAGAGTGCAGCATGACTTGTAATATTATTATTAAGGTTGATAATAAATCTTAAAGAATAATGATATGGCTGTCTATAATGATAATTTGTGATTAAATTTTGTTTTGTCTATAGCAGTTATTTCGATTTTTGTATCACTTTGAATCAATATAGCTAATTTAATCTACAGAGTTTTTTTTGCTCTAAGTACATGATTTGTTTTAATTTTTAAACAGGTGTTGCTTTCTTTATCATACTGCAAAAAAAGATATAATAAAGTTAAAATTTAACTTTAGACCAAACAAAATCTATGCTTGATTTTTAGGATATCAAAATTATTTGGTTCATTAAATGTTTTGCTTAAAAATTAATAATTATTTTTATTAACACAAATTAGTTTTTTTTAGTATAATGTGTTAGTTGTAAGTGACCTTCAACCTGCTCTTCAAGCTGATGGACTAGTTACATCACACCCTGTCTATGTTCCAGTTGGTCATCCAGATGAGATCAATGAAATATTTGATTCTATATCCTATAGCAAGGTTAGAGTTTTTCTTTTCTTCTTGGCTTAAAAACAAAAATAATAATAAGGTGTCATCCATAGATGACGTCATGCTTTTTTGGATGATTTTTACCCGCCCCCCTCCCTCCCCTCCATTACTCATCGTCACAAGAAGCCAGACCCCCACCCCTAAAATGACGTCACATATCAGTCACACATCAGACTACAACACCCCTCAAATTTTTCTTAAAACATCAATATTTTTCCAAAATCTAGTCAGAACTATGTCAACATAGAGTCTTTTGATCAATTCCTATTACAATTTGTTGAAACCGTTTTGTAAAACGCGAAATAACGGCTAAAATTCATTTTCTAACATTGCTTTTTAATAATGCACCAGTGTGACGTCACACCATCTGACCCCCCCCCCCCCCCATCCACCTCATCACACACCATCACAAAATTACTGATTCCCATCCCCCTACGAGCCAGAGTTTCTTCCTGGCATCTCTTCGGGGGGGCAGAGCCCCCCCCCCCCCAAAATTTTTTTACCGCCCCCCCCCCCCCCAAACGAAATGAAATGTATATAATTTATATAGAAAATATAATACTTTTAACAGTGTCCGCCCCCCTGAAGAAAGTCTACAGCCCCCCCCCCCCCCCCAAATTTCAAGTGCCCCCCCCCCCCCAGAGAAAAAAGTCTGGAAGAAACACTGCTACGAGCGTGGCGTCATTTATGGATCATCCCTAAAACTAAAATATAGAATTTTCTGTGAAGAATTTAATATTATAGTATTGGGTTCTTATATTTGCAGGGCTGTGCCATTATCAGAATGATGCTTCATTTTCTCGGTGAGGGAACTTTCCGACGAGGATTAAATGTAAGAAATTATTACAAAAATGTAATCTAAAACAATCGTTGTTTATATATTATGGCCTTTTCACAATTGTGATTTTTTAAAATAAAAATATAATCAACAAAATATTTTCAGAGATATTTATTATCAAGGCAATATGGTGCAGCCTTTCATGATGACTTGTGGACAGCTCTTACTGAGGTAAATAAAATTGTTTGATTTCTTGTGATTTAATTATATAGGAATAAAGAAAGTAATTTGCAATACCTAGGTTGGTGGATAAAATAATTGCATGTGCTACATCATTCTTTGAGATTAAATGGTCAAAACAATCAATGAGAAACTATTTTTAAGACTGATTAATATTTTTAATCATTTTAAAGCAACTCAAATCCACATAATTTCCCCAACTGATGTTTAATGTATCGACAATAAATTTTACAATTATAAAATCTCTCAGTAAATAACAGTATTATTTTATAATAGGTGAAATACAAATGATTTAACTGTTAATTTCAAGTTTTAAATGAACATTAATTTATCTATAGCATAATAAATGTTTTAATATTTTTCAGCAAGCAGCTATTGATGGGAAGCAGAACATAAATGTAAAGACAATTATGGATACATGGACACTTCAAATGAATTATCCTGTTGTCAAACTACAAAGAAGTTATAACTCTGTTACAAAGCTACTGGTATCTCAGAAAAGATATCTGGAAGATTACAATGCAGTTGATCCTGGCAAATATGTTTCTCCGTTTGGGTATATAATATTTTACACATATCTGATGTTATTTAAATGTGGAGAGTGAAAATAACTGACAGTAAAAATTTCATCCTAAACCTATAGTATTATTTTAGGAAAAAGCAATAATGATCACATGTAATGTGAATGTGACTAGTGTCATATTTAAAACAAAATATTTTCATAATAGCAGATCATAAGGAGAAAATAAAATAGAAATAATGAAAACAGAATTTACACCAATTCATCCAAAATATTCATTTATTTTGATAGCTTTTTAAAAATTATTGATTGCTTGAAACTTATTTTAAGTAATGTAATTTCTCATAATATGTATGAGTTACTGATAAGTTTATATTTGAGCTACATATTTTCAATGCATCAATTTTAATGCAACTATAATTTCTGCAGTTTTTTTTTTTTTTTAAATCCATTAATACCTGAAAATATAATTAAACAGTCTAACAATTTTGCTATATATTTAAGAAAATGTATTAATTTAACATACTGTTGAATATTATTTAAAATATATATAACAATAAATGTGTCCTATATTTTTCATAAATCAGTTACAAATGGAACATCCCAATAACAATCACAACCAGTGAAAAACCAAACTTCAGTCAGACAGATAAAGATGTTCTGTGGCTTCATACTCATGAAGAAAGTAGTAAGGATGATGCATAATATATTTGATTACTTTACTAATTAAAATTTTTTGGGACAGAGTGGCTGAGCGGTAGAGAGCTAGACTGCTAACACAAAGTCTAACCTGAAATCTGGCTTCAAGTCAGTTGAATATCCTTGAGTCCACCTAACTCTGATAGGTACCTAACTCATGTTAGGGAAAGCAAAGGTGGCTGTGCATAGTGCTGACCACACAATCCCTCCATATGCTAAGGAAACTGAAGTAGATGAACTCTACTTCATCTGCCCCATGTGTCTTGGGCACTAACGGGAAAAAATGATGAATTGAAATTTTTATATTTTAGAAACGTTAGTTTATTTATGTTTGTACCTTTTTAAAAAATTTCAAATTGTTGTTTTTACAATTAACAGAGGAGATTGATTACGACCCACTTCCCTCTGGGTATAATTCAAGTGGATGGATTCTTGCAAATGTTGAAATGAATGGCTTCTATAAAGTCAACTATGCAGACAGTAACTGGGAAGCTTTGTGCAAACAGCTGGTGGAAGACCACAAAGTAAGACTTTTATATTTGAAGAAAATATATTGATTGCTTATGAATTTTCTGCACAATTTGCAGCATATTCAAACCATTGATGTCTAATTATATAAGAATTATGGGGTCCATATATTTCTACTTAGGTTTTGCTATCACAAACTTGAGTGGGGCTTACACATTTATTAATACATTTTAGGTAATTCCAATAATTAACAGAGCTCAGATAATCAGTGATGCTTGGAGTCTTGTTAAGTAAGTCATTCGCATATTAATGAAATTTGTATTTTTATTATTTTTTATTATATATTATTTAAAGGTATTTTTGTCTCTTTGTTAAGATTATTTAAATTTAAAATATGATTTGGAATTAGTTTAAAAATCATAAATTAATTTTTTTTTGTATATATTCAATTGAAAAAAAATTACAGTCTAACATTTAAGTTCTGCAGTTTTCCTATACTTTTTAAAAATACCTATTTACATTGTAGATCAGGTGATTTAAAACTGAACATTGCACTAAAAACAATTGAGTACCTCCATAAAGAAAAAGATTATGCACCATGGGTTGCTGCTAGAACAGAACTTCTCTACACTTCAAGAATGTTGGCTGTCACTCCTTTGTTTGGACTCTTCCAGGTTTTACAATATTCCTAAATAGTTTTAATGAAAAAAAATTGATCTGTCATATTGTTTAAAATATTTGTAAAAAAATCACTTTAATCATAAAAAAACAAAATTAAAATGTGATTATTTATTAGATTATTTTACTAAATTAAAAACATTACAAATCTTTTCTTTTAATACAGTCTGATTATTTTAAAAAGTTCCCACCTTTTTTTTACAGAAATTTATGCAGGAAAAAATCAACAGTTCATTCCAGGTTGTTGGTTTTGATAATACAGGATCATCTCATACTGACATGTAAACATAAAATGTATTTTTAAATGTTGACTTTTTCCAAAGCAAATTTCACATTTCTTTGTAAAAAAAACTAGCCCATTCTTTAAGAATTTTTTTTATGATTTAATCTTTTAGTGGTGACAAATTATATTGATTATTATATAATTTTTGTATGTATAGTTAAAAAAAAATATTGCATTATTTCTTTTATCAGTTTGGCGCGAAGTCTTATTATCAATATAGCATGTGGATATGGTATACAGAAATGTGCAGATTTTGCTAAGGACCAATTCAAACAATGGATGGCAAATCCAACTTCAAATACGTATGAATTTTTTTTTTAAAATATATTTCTTAAAAATTTGCTATTTTGTAGTTGTTTTAATTTAGTATTTCTCTCAAACTTTATTACTGTGTAATTTAGGTTTTTTATTCAATTAGTAGTTGTTTTTCTTTATTCTCTACCATTTGTTAACATGAAATGCTAGTTGATTTTTAACAACGATCGTATTATTAAAACAATATTAAAAAGGTAAAATAAATTCTGAATCATCAATCATAATAATCTTTTACTATTTATAGAGTAGACCCTAACTTTAGATCCACTGTGTACTGTTCTGCTATTTCAAGTGGTGGATGGGATGAGTGGAGCTTTGGTCTTAAGGTATGTTAGAAAATATTTAACACAAAGGCAATATTATAATTAACATCTTAGTTTCTTTTCTTATTAACACAGGAATAACCATTTTTTTTATTTGATTTCAGATGTACACAGAATCTGATTTAGCCTCTGAAAAGGTTAATTTGCTTTCAGCTTTATCTTGTACCAAACAACCTTGGATCCTAAACAAGTGAGGAAAAGTTCTAAAACTTTACTTAAATTTTATACAGAATTTTGTAATGTGTTGTACTTAATTATACCAAAAGTTTAACAAAAAATTTAAAAAAGATCAGACTGGTCATACAAAGTGTTTGCAGGATTTATTAGGGGGGGGGGGGGGGGGGGGGCAAATCTTTTTTGACACACAAACACACAGAAATTCTATGAAACAATTTTTAGAATGTAAAATTATGTTATAAGACATTGTAAATTATTAATTTTAAAGTGATGGTAATAGCTGTCTGCATAAGACAGTGGTAATTTTTTCCAGTCACACTACTCTAAAGTGACTAATATACTAAGAGCAATTTATCTCAAATAGTTCTTCCCAAAAGACAGTTGCTGTGCTAATGTAGTAAATTCATTCTGCATATACAAAGACAGTTTTTATTAATTGTCACATTTTCTTATAATTTGTATTGTAAAGACTATTCATGTGTAGGTGAATTCAGGCTATACTTTAACATATAAAGGTAATTTTAAATGGTACACAGAGTTTTGACCTCAGGAGCTTTGAACATATGTGCACAGCTGTGATCCAACCTAAGGGCCAAAGCCCTTATGGTCAAAGCACCTTAAACTTTAAAATTATTCTCAATGTATATTTGAGATCTATTTTACAATTTTTTTACAAATAAACATTTTCAGCTTCCTGTCGCTGGTAATAGAGAAAGACTCAGTCATTCGCAAGCAAGATACCTTAAATGTTATAACATACATCTCATCAAATACGGTTGGTCGATCACTTGCTTGGAACTTCTTTAGAGCCAATTTCCAACATCTTAAAGACATGTACGTTTTTGTTTTTATTTTCAACTTATCTAAATAAGGAATCTTTTTAACAAGATAATCTAATAAATTAAATTTATAAACTACTTTTTGTTATTAGTATACATGGTACCTTTGATTGATTCTCTTTGCATTATTGAAGTATGTATTGAGCATGGAAGTCTCTTTTAGGTTGTCTATTTTCTATAAAATTAAAAAATTACTTCTACTTATAGATTTGGAGCATCATTTTTCTCATGGTCCAATGTAATAGATGCAATCACCAGGAATTATAATACAGAGTTTGAACTTAGTGAGGTATGGTTTATCCATATTAGTTTATTCAAATATTTTCATTAAGTGTGAGGACAGTTATGATTAGCATGCTAGAGCTATAGTGTTTTTTATGTGAATTTTTCTTTATAGGTAAAGGCTTTCTATGCAAGCCAAGAAGGCAAATTTGGTTCTGGTGAGAGAGCCATCCAGCAAGGCATTGAGAAAATTGCTTCCAACATCAAATGGCTGGAAACTAATCGGGATGTCCTTAGAACATGGCTAGAAGATGTCACTTCACAATAAACTACAGGCTATATTCAAAAAGTATTTAAAATGTCTTGTATATTTATATAGGTAGATGTGTAAATGTGTGTATATATAGAAACTTATATATATATATATATATATATATATATATATATATATATATATATATATATATATATATATATATATATATATATATATAGCCTATTTGAATTTTTAAATTTTATGATAATATGGCTGTTACTGTCACCACCTGTTTTATTTGTAGAAAATAATACAGATTACAGCAAGAAAACATGCTAAAAGGTTGTACTGTTTTCTGTTATTTTGTTGGAAATTAAAATGGAGTAAGAAAAACAGTTTAAGCAAGGATTTTTCAGAAAATGAAACAAAAGTTTGTCCATATGGTTTCTCCATAATAATATAATCTTACAGTAAAAAATTCTGCCTTATTTTACATTCTTTATTAAACTAAATGTATTTGAATTAAAAGATATAAGTTGAAATAACTTATTTACAGAAAAACTGTTGTAACTGTTGATATAATATACCAAGCTAGTGACTTAAAGAAATTGAAATATTCAATTTTAAACAAACTTTTATGCCATTAGTTACACTCATAAGTCCTACACAAATTTCAAATTTTCAACTGTTAATTTACAAATGCTCATGTCTTTTATTTTCATTTCAACTTTTGATTTTGTTTTTTTGTTAATTCCAACAGCTGCCTTTTTCAAAAAGTGTTCAGTAAACCTTTTGGTGCATTATGTATAAAAACATAAAAATATAAGTTGAAAACTCTAAAACTGATAGGAAAAGTAGGTCATTTATGTGGCTTTGTATTTATGAAAATTTGTGATTAAAATAAATACTGCTGTAAAATCTCTAAAATATTATAACATGATAATTAAGACCAATTTATTATGCATTCAGATTAATGTGGTTAATTTCTGTATTTAGTATTCATAAGATCTTTGAGATCTTTCTAAGAAATCCTCACAAGACTAAAATCATTTTGTTATTATATAAATATTATATTATTTGAAAATCAATATAACTTCTTATTGAAAAGATTTTTTTGAACTTCAACTTAACTTTTTAGTTATATGATTCATGATACCAAAGAAAATATATCTATATTATTAATATTCTAATTGATGTACATTTTGTTATTTGGTTTTATATTTTTCTACACCACATAATGATTGTACATACTTAATGAATTTAAAACTAATTTGTACTGTAAATTTAAAAAAAAGTCTCATTAGAATGAACTACATAAGAAATCTCTTTCACTGGGTGTCAATGTAAATCTATTCATCTTAAAATTTTGAATGAAGGTTTTGTTATCAAACTTATTTCTTGCATCAAATATCACAATCAGTGTATGTTTCTAGCAGTTTTAATTTTAAGCATTGGCTAAAGTACTTAAATTTTCAGTCCTACCTTGGTGAATATGTGGATTTCATATTATAACCTTTGATTTATATTTCAGAAAAATGTACATTCTTATTTAATACTATGTCTTAACAATATTAAAGTATTGGTTTTGTTTGTTTTGAATGAATATGTGTATACTTTCCTGTTTTTATATTCATTATTAACATATAGTTCAAAGCTTAATAAATGAATTATTTTGATTTGACTATGGTGAGCTTTTTTGTTGATTAGATTTTAGATACCCGATTGTGTTGAGTGTATGTTTCAGTTACTGTCTCATTGTATTTTTTAAAAAATAGTGTTGTGAATTTTTGCTCAGCCTCTATACACGCTATAGTTAAAACTGCTTAATCGTGCATATAATAATAAAATAATATAAAAAAAGTAACAATAGTACATTAGACAACTGCCTTAAGCAGAAACTATTGAGCAAAAGTTGACTATAATATAACATGGAAGGAGAGTCTTACTTTTATCAGTGTCCGTCGTCCCTTTCCTCAGAAATGTCTGTCCATCCCCCAACCCCCAGAAAGTTTTGTGTGCCCCCAACCCCCCACCCTCCCTCTCCCGAACATTCCACCTCCCACCCCCCCCCCCCGGAGAAAAAGTATGAAAGAAACCCAGATAGCGACCTCAAAAAGAAGCCCAACGTCAATTTTAATTGAAATTTTAATTGGTTTGGCACTTTACTACATAAACAATCTCAAAATAAAAAAAAATATTTAAAAAAATGTTTTTTTTGGAATAATCTAAATTTCGATAATATTTTTGAAACATAATATATATATATATATATATATATATATATATATATATATATATATATATATATATATATATATATATATATATATATATATTTACCCCTCCCCCCAAATCGCCTAATTCTAATCCATAGCATCCTTACTAGTTTAAGTCGATCAAACAACTTCTCTACGTTGTTCAAATTATCTCTAACTTATGCTTTAAAGTTGAGGCGCTGGTTTACCTAGAAAAGACGTGTTTTCATAAATCAAGTTGACCTTTTCGTGTGTGTTGTCCTCGAGCACAGGTCACCTGTCTGTTACACAGATAGATCTAGTTAACACACACTTCTGCAGGCCTACATGTTTTAATGAAACAAATCAGTTTGTTTAGACCGTGTTCAAAAATTGTCCACGCATTTTAATACCCGAAGACGCCGTTATATTTTCAACATACATTTATACAAAATACAGTAAGTTTTAATTTTCTAACTTTATTTGTGTATAATTAAACTACATCAGTAAATATTTATTATTTTCCTATAAAGTGCGATCAAAATAAATTTTCAAAATATTTTTTTCAATTAGCTCAATGAATAAGGCGGGAGTAAACTCCCCTAAACTTTCTTGTGCATTTTCGAGAGGGTTTAGATAACATTTCTAGTAGAATCGGGCTATGGTAATGGTACGAATGTTTGTGACAAAAAAAATCATTTTTCGGGAAAACACAAAAAAGTGAAGAGTTCTTAGAATATGCTGCTTTGTTTCATTTTATATTATAAATTTTAAAGGTTTTTGACAAATCGATAATGGAGTAAAGTACCATTCTGGTTACCGCAAATCGCTCAAAGTTGATAGAAACATATAAATATGGTCTGATAAGTAGGCTTTATGAGAAGTGTCGATGACCAAAATAAAAAGTTACTGAAGTTATCGTATTCACTCACACTCATAGATCTACACAGACAGACAAGCTTGCGGAACTAGGTTTTCCGACTCGGGATGCTGGTGTAAAACGATATCGAGTTTTTGCAAGATCACTATATTTTGCTCTGTCTATACTCCATAAATGAGAATGTAAAAAATAGACGAAGAACTGTTTAAACTATTTTTAAAAAGCCGTCCACTTTTCTAGAGTATATTCTAATGCTACTGACTTCAATTAGGATGCATTACTAGATTACCTTCTAATTAAGCTGTGCCAGCAGATTCGTCCCACCGCGCCGTACCAACCTACCTCAATAAACACGCTGTAAGAAAACTAATAATATCAAAGTGAAAGGTTTATGGGTCTACTACCCCCAACAAGTGTAACACAATATCTAAAATATGAGTTTGTACCCATATGCTTACTACCCCTATGGGGGGGGGGTAGGGGTCATCCATAAATGACGACACACATCGTCACAAAAAGCCACACACCCCCTTAAAATAACTTCACATCACAGCATACAAGCCCCTTCAAAATTGCAGTTCAGTTCTTTTTAAACATTGACTGAGCTTTCTATTATAGTTTATTATTCAAACTGTTTTCTAAAACGCGAAATTTATTTTCTAGCAATACTTTTTCTTTAAATTAAAAAAAATGTGACGTCCCCCCCCCCCCCCCCCACTTCAGTAACATAAATAACATATCGCACAATACAAGATAACAACAAACCACTTCTACCCACACTTTGCCTTCGTGTTACATTACATGTGCACGATTAAATTAAAACTGCCGTGTTATTGACACAAGTTGTTACACATTGAAAACTTACACCCATTTTCACCGTATAAACAGCAAGCGTCATTCAAAGACACGCACAATTCTAAAGTAATTGTAGCTTGTTTGTGGCTTATACTAGTACAGGTACACATCCGGGAAGGTTGTTGTTAAGTAAATAGCTGAGTTAGGATAAACACGAAGGTATTTTCTTATATTAGGGAAGTCAGCTAGGCATAACTGTAAGTGCTGTGTTTTTAAGTTGATTTGCTTTAACTTTTAACTGTTGTAAATAGACCGGGACTTATGTAGTTCTGATTAGCCATTAGTAAGGAGGCGTGACAAATATTCATTATGTGTTGCTAGTGCATATAAGTTAGGGCAACGGTTCTTAACCTGGGCTCCATAGAACCACAGTTGTTCGGTAAGTCTGTCTTAGGGTTTCGGCGAAGGTCAAGACACACACAACTCATTCTATTCAAGATCGGGATTTGTCGATGTGTGCGATATAACTATAAAGAAGGGTTCTGTAAATGCGCATATGAAAATTTGAGGGGTTCGGTACCTTTAAAAAGGTTAAGAACCATTGAGTTAAAGCTAAGTATTCAGACATATTCTCCCTAGTCCTTAGAAGAAGATAATGTTATCTATTCCGATAACAACAAAGACCAGGTTAATTGTTTTGCAGCAATTGCTTTTTTCTAGCATAATAGATAAACAAAAACATTAAAAAGACTTGTCTAAAACATGTTTATATACACAACACCTAAGTCTTTCCAATGATGAAAAACATTTATTGAAGCCTTAGCCTTGTGGTTTTCACTTCAATTGTAGTTTAGCATTTCTTGACTATATGAATCAGAAATCGAGCTTTCAGATCTCAAATTGTATTCACAGACTTACAAGTGTTTAACGTTGAGGATTCTAGAACATACATTTGATCCAAATCTCTGGACTATGTTCCATTCTTAGGAACATCTCGACATGACATCTCAGAATTTCGAACTTTCAGATCTCTCCAACAGTCAGACGAATCTAACAAACATGACTGAGAAGAAAAATGGCTGCTATGTCAGCTCCGTTGTTGGGTTCATCTTGATTCTCCTGGCGGCCGCCATTGCTGTGGGTGTTGGTATCATTGTCCATTTCGCTGGAGGGAACAAGGTCGTCGTCTGCAAGTTTGACTCGTCTTTTGGTACTGCCAGTGATATCTGGAAGGAGTGCATCAGTCTATCCAGCTCAGGGAACAAAGATGTTTGTAAGTAGCGTTTTTTGTCTGATTTGTAGAAGGTGAAGTTTATATCTGATTTGTAGAAGGTAAAGTTTATGTCAGGTTTGTATAATGTAAAGTTTAAATCTGATGAAAGTTTCGATCCAAGGTCTTCGTCAGCTCACAATAGTGTGGTTACAAACAAAAAAAAATGTCATATCACAAATGTAATTTTTTTTTTAAAATTGGATTTGTTATTCATTTTTTAAGGGAAAAAATAGGTAGAAATTGTTAAGATATATGATCTATTTTTACGAAAATTGAGTTGCTTTTTAGATGTAATTATTTTGTATTGTCCAGCAATTAGTAGATACACTAAGTTCTTTCAATAGTCTATTAAGCAATTTCTACAGTTTTAATTAATTATGCATGTTACTTATGTCATGGGCAGGTGGACGATGCCCGGCTAGTCCCACTACCAACGTACCAATGTCAACGCCCTCCCCGTCAACACTGACCACTCCGGCAACAAAACCCAAGGTCACGAATGTTCGTCTGCCTAAAAACGTGGTCCCCTTACACTACAATGTGGAGCTTCATCCCAACATGTACCTACCTGATCCTGCTAACTTCACTTTCAAGGTATTTCATTTGTTTTTCAAGTAATCTTTGTTTTAAAAGATGTTTCTTCTAAAAAAAAAACAACACACAATGTAAAACACTTTACTGTTCTAAATCTACATCCTCGTTCTTAATTGAAATATTGAAGGGTGGCCTAGAGGTAGAGCGCTAGACTGCTAACTCGAAAGTCTGGAGTTCGAATTGGGGTTCAAGTCTGTAGAACGTCCCTGAGTCGACCCTGATGAGTACCTAACTCACATTACGTCAATGCTGACCCCACGATCCTTACATATAAAACAGAAACAGAAGAACTCTAATTCCCTTGCCCCATGTTTACACGTGTTTTCAAATTTAACCACCTTTAAAAAATAAATGAATTTCATTTTATAGAAATCTTTCCGTTAAGTATTGTGTAACAGCAGAGGCGTATCCAGGTTTTCGTTGTAGGGGGAGCGAAAGAGCAAAAAAAAGGCGCCGAATTTTGTAACACGTTCTATATACGTGTATTATATATATATATATATATATATATATATATATATATATATATATATATATATATATATATATAATTACTAGCTGTATGTCATTACTTTGCTATGATGTAAAATAAATTGAAAGTATAAGAAAAAACACACAATGTAGGCCGACAAAACAAAAATTGTATCAATCTAAACAAAATAAAAATATGTATACACACACTACAACCAAAGACAATGAACGAAACACAATCTGTTTTGTAATTCCTGTAAAAAAATTTCTTACATAATAATTCCTGGAAAATTATTTAAGACAAGTGAAATAGGGGAAATAATCACTCTCTTAATATAAATATGTATATATCTATACATTTAATTATAAATATCAAAACAAATAAATAATTACTTTAGAATATAATGAAATTGTTTAACACTATTCGTGTTTACAAAATGTTTTTGTCTATAATTAGAATTTAGTATATTGTCATCATAAATGCTAAATTATTACAGCATAATGAAAGTTTTTAAAATCAGAGTTGGTATAAAACCACGCTTTTCGATGTAATATAAAAACATTCGGAATAATAGCCTTCATTTAACTAAATAGCGGTTTTTTTAGTTCAGATCATATATTTTTTAATTAACTACTGCTTCTTTGTGTTCTTTGAAGATCATTTTTTAACATAGTGATAGGTATGGGTTAGATTACTATATTGATCAGACAACTTTTTACTGGTAATTGCAAAAACAATATTCACAGAGTTTACGTTTAAAAAGCTCATTTTCTGGTGGCATGGTACTTTGGTACATTATTACGCGTTTTTCTACAGATCAGTTCGGGGTGGGTTGGGGGGGGGGGGGGGGTTCAACTTCATTCACCACTGTCCGTTAACTTTAGGTCAATTATCCAACCCAGTGTATACCTAGGTGTGACATTAATGTTGCTCTACACAATTGTGGTGGTGAGGTGTGTGTGTGGGGGGGGGGGGGGGGGGGGGGAGATAACCAACTCAGAGTGAACATAGCGTCAGTTTTTAGATGACTGTTCTAAACATACATATATATTACACAAATACATATTACACAAATATATATTACAGAAATAGATTTAAATAAGTAGCATTGGTATTATGACAATATTTTTTTTTACAGAGGGGTCCATGGGGAAGGGGGGTTGTAACTGTTTCATATAATTTTTAATCGTAATCACTATCGCCCAAACTGTAAGAATACTACTACTTCATCGTGATGACGTTGTTGACCTTGTCAAAATTTCCCCACCAATACGCAGTTTGCTCATAAGTAAATTTAAATAGAGGTGCCACGTCAGTTGTATTTGTTTCTGTATTGTAATTTTTTTTAAATTATTCACACGATTCAAACTGTATATATAAAGTAATTATGCGTGAAGTTTTATGTATAACATTTTTAATTCAATTATTCGTAAGCAAATACATTATACAGTTGCCTTAAACTTAACACCCCTCTTGCCAAGTGGTACTACCGTAGAGGTTTTTTAAACATTGCAATGCATAGTATGGTTATTTTTAGAATGGCAAACTGATGCAGCTGTTAATAACGTGTTGTAAACGTAGACACAACTAGACTAGTACAAAAATGCTTAACTGCTGCATGAAAAGAAATCTTGTGATTTACATAGATGTGCCGACCAAAAAATTTTTTAAACAAATATCATTGTTTAAAACTTTGAGTTTAAAAAGTTTCCAAAAAGGCGCCACTTTGCTGAAAATGGCCAGAGGGGGAGCAGCTGCTCCCCCTGCCCCCCCCCCCCCCCCCCTGCGTACGCTACTGTGTAACAGAATTCCAAATATTAACTTAGATTCTCGGATTAAAGAAATGTCTCTGCATTATTTTATTTTTTTCAATACAGGGCTCTGTGAAGATCTGGATAAAATGTATTACTGCGAGTGACAATGTGACGCTACACTTTAATGTTCTAGAGATCAACAACAGCAGTGTTAGGTTTTACCCAGAATCTGGTACTGGGCCTGGTTTAAAATCTCTGGCTATTGATCCAGATCGACAGTTCTTTATTACAAAGTTAGACGGGAATATGCAGGTAAACATGATAATTTTACTTACCTTATCTTTAAACAATAAATATCAAGTTAAGTAGATTTAAATTAGGTACATGTCGTGATTTGTTTGTATATGTTTACTCTGATCTAACCAAATATTTGTCAATAAAACAATTTTGAAATATTTTTTTAGGTGGATTTGTAAATTGACTAAAAGCCCCCCCCCCCCCCCCCTCACCCCCAACCAAAGCTAAAAAGCATAATTCAGTGAAAGCTACGCGCAATAATTCTACGTTTTAATAATTCTACTATTTTATATACAAATAGGCCTACACAAATTGTTTTTTTTTTTAACTTTATCATAGGCAAACAAAACCTACATACTAGAAATGACTTTTAAGTCTCCTTTAAAAAATGACCTACACGGGTTGTATTACAGTAGCTACAATAGAAATGGAAGTCTTGTGTAAGTATAATCTTTGTATTGTTTCAGTTATTACAGAATAAATGACTGTTCCAGATTAAAAAAAAATATATTAAAACCAACTATAGTTGTAACGTTCGTGGTTTGTGTTAGATGATAAATGATATATGATAAATAGCACAATTAGATTGAATACAAAATAGCAAGTAGTATTTATTAGATCCACTGGGGATAAAGTTCAAATGACAAGTGATCATTATAAAATAAAATCATTGTTCACGCAGAGCAAAAATATATATGAGAACAGGGGATACTACTGTAACAGTACTTGAGTGCGTGAGTGACAACGTTAGTTCCCTTGTATACTTTACCATATTTTGACATACTTCTGTTGTGTTTTATAAATTACGAGCCGACCCGAGACGTTTGCTGTTTAGTTGTTTTATTTTCTACTTTTCATACTTTGTGAATTCGACACTACCCCCCCCCCCCCCCCCCCGCGTAAGCAGCCGTCCGTGACGACAGTTTACAGACGACAATTAAATGATCAAGGAGAACTTGTTACCTCCCCTTAGGTTCAAATCGTTTAAAAACTAATTATCTGCCCCTAATAGCCGTTACTAATTCGACCCGGCTCTACGATTGTAAACACCAGACTTGTGGGGGTGGGGGTGAGAGAGATATGGTCTGTTGCACATGCCTGGAGTGGGGGGGGGGGGGGGCGAGAGGAGGGTTAGATAGTCGTCTTACGTACGTGGTGGTGTCCACGTAGAGAACTATATATAGGCCTATAGAAGATTATGAGTACGCGCAATGGTATATGTATGATTTAGATCTATAACATGTATTCACATTTAGTAACTAGAATAGTTTTGATCTTCTTTTTCGTTCTTAATTAAGTATATAATGGAGGATTTAAACAACAAACCCAACTTTGTGTATGAACCGGACTGTGCTCTAAAATTGATCATAGTCAGATTTTTTTCTATGGTATCTATTGCGTCACTGATGGTTTATGTACGGTGAGAGATCCACGGCGGGGAGAGGTTTTGAGTTTTGATTGTTTCTGGAATGATATTTTCGATTTCACATTTCTTTTTTTTATTTTATTGCTTCTTTAATAAAACCTGCTCTTTGAAGTCGGTTTGATGGACTGGGCTTCTGGAGTTTGTGTTTTGTGTTTTAGATTATGGTTATCCAGTACCTCTAGCTTTGTGTATTGAGTGAGGATTTTTTATTCTCTTCTTTCTTCTATTGAGCTAAGAGCGGCTATTTCCTCCATTGCTTTTATAGGCTAGTTTCGATGATTAAGCTAACAAATCACGGTTAATCATTTCTAGATCAGAGTTTCTTCCAGGCATCTCTTTTTGCTCCCCCCCCCCCCGAAACAATTTTACCGCCCCCCCCGAACGAAATGAAATTTATATAATTTATATTGAAAATATATACTTTTAACAGTGTCCGCCCCCCCCCCCCCCCCCCGAAGAAAGTCTACCGCTCCCCCGAAAATTTCAAGTGCCCCCTGGAGAAAAATGTCTGGAAGAAACACTGTTCTAGATCTGATAAAAAAAATGTGATTCCCATATTTTATTTTTATATATCAGTATTCTAACATGCATTTATGTATGGGGTTTAGTCTGGTTATATAATAACAAAGGTTCTTATCTCAACAATACATACACTGCCTGCCTAATTTATGATGTGTATAGTGTTAGAAAAAATATCACATTTAGTGTTATAATTAATTATATATATATATAGGCATATATATATATATATATATATATATATATATATATAGGTCTATATATATATATATATATATATATATATATATATATATATATATATATATATATATATATATATATATATATATATATATATATATATATATGCGTTCAGTTAGGATCTATGTTGCCAATATCTAACATTAAGAGAAATATTTTTTGTCTCGATAGTTGTCACACAATTTAAAAGAAATTAAATTGATTTGATTTATAAAATGTACATGATGATAGATTCTAAATACAAATTATGTTGACGCTTATGTTGTTTTTATTTTTTATTCAGCTACATAGCATCAACTCTGTTTTCGCCCACTGATGCCAGGAAAGCATTTCCTTGTTTTGATGAGCCGGCTATCAAAGCTACATTCAATGTTACACTAGTTCGTCCAAGTCATTTAATTTCTCTATCAAATATGCCAGTGTTAAGCAATAGTGCTTCATAGTAAGTAAAAGTTACTACAAGACACAATGTAACTGTATGAAACACCGCAAATTTATTCTGTCTGGTTTTTTTTTTTTAAATTATAAAATTTTTATTCTAAGTAATCGGACAATTTTAGGAAAAAGTGATTTGACCTAGATCTATAAATATAAACTTAATAAACATTAGGCCTACAAAACAATATTTACTTTAGAACTTAGATTTAATTAAGGCTATAGATCTAGAATCTAGTTTATTTGATGCTTTTTAAGTTCTATTATATTTTGACATATTGCCATGTGAAGAAGCATACATTACATTTCTTTTTCCTAAAACTCACATTAACAAAACTTTTATAGTTGTTTATAATTATATTGACTAGTAAAACTTGTTATTTACCTGTCCTGTTTCCTCTAGTATTGAAGATGGTATTACCTACATTAAAGATGTTTATCAACAAACACCTAAGATGTCAACTTACCTGTTGGCATTCATCATTTGTGACTTTGAATACACATTCAACACAACTAAAAATAACATTTTGGTCTGTATTTTAAATTTATTTATAAAAGTAAAAATAATGTTTTTAAATTTTAAAATCAGTAGGAAATTAAACTGTTATACAATGGAAAATTAAAAACCAAAAAGTCTAGTTTATAATATATAAACTATAGTGAAATTCAACCTGTATTTTAAAATAATCTTCAATGGGTCATTAAGAAAACATTAAATTTTTTATATTGAAAAATGTATAGATATTTTGTCTGAGATATTGTGTCTGAAATCATTTGTCCTGGTATCATTTGTCTTGTCACCATATATATATATAAACCATATAGCACGGCTTTCTTTTTTTTTTGGCCTTAGTATCGTGTATGGGCTGCTAAAGCAGCTATCAATCAAACAGCCTATGCCTTGGAAACTGGTATAAAAATTATCACATATTTTGAGGAGTTTTTTAATGTGTCTTTCCCCCTACCAAAACAAGGTAACGTATTTTCAAACTGCCATAAATAGTTTAAAATTAAGATTGTTGATTAAAAGCTTAAAAATGTAGTCTGATTAGCATTATATACATTAGGCTTTATTTGTATCAAACCAGTATCCACTTGATAATTTTAATGGAGTTGTCTTTAACAGATATGATTGCAATACCAGACTTTGCTGCTGGTGCTATGGAGAACTGGGGTCTAATTACATACAGGTGACTTTGTTTACAAATATACAATATTTTAATAATAATTTAAAACAAAAAATGGTGAAAAGAATTAAAGATATTTTTTAGCTAAACAAACCTGCAAATAAACAAAGACACACAAAAAGTTGTGTTTGTAATAACAAAAAAGCTGGTTGAAAAATCCAAACAAAGTCTCGAGTTCAAACCCACTGGCAGATAATTCTCGTTCCCCTACAACACTAATAATTAAGAACGAAGAAGAAGAAAGAAATGTAATAACATTTTCAAAAGATTTAGTAGCTTACAGTAAAATATTTAATTTTTAATAAATATATTTTTCAATTAGAATTAGAATTTTATTCATCTATACATAACATTACATTTTTACCATACAATAGTGTTATAATAATCATACTTTTTAAAATAAAACAAATTTTATATATACAATGTGAATTTTCTTTGATGTAGAGAAACAGCTATGTTATATAAACCAGGGGTTTCCAATGAAGGTAACCTGGAAAGAGTTGCTGTTGTGGTATCACACGAGTTGGCACATCAGGTTTGAGTTCTAATACCATATAATTTGATGATTCAAATTTTTGAAAATATTTTATAAAACGATTTTCTCTTGTAATTTTATTACATCTTGTTATTATCTTAAACATTAAAATGATACTTAAATAAATAAAAAGGATACAGATTTAATTTTATTAAAACAAATACAAAGAATTGTCATTCTTCATGCCTTATTTTTTAATTATTAGAACAATTAAGGCTACTTTACACTACCATATTATAATTTGATGATTTAAATTGTTTAAAATACTTTATAATAAAAAAATGATTTTATCGTGTAATTTTATTACATCTTGTTTTAATCTTAAATATTAAAATGATTGAAATAAATAAAAGGGTTACTGATTTAATTTTATTAAAACAAATACAAATCATTGTCATATTTCATTTTCTACATTTTAATTAATAGTACAATTAAGGCTACTTTAAGACAAACTGTGGTGTATTCATTAGTAATTATATTAATTGTATTAACTTAAACAGTGGTTTGGTAACTTGGTGACCCCTTCATGGTGGGATGACCTTTGGCTGAAAGAAGGCTTTGCCAGCTTTGTTGAGTATTTGGGAGTTAATCATGTTCATCCTGACTGGAACATAGTAAGTCATTTTTTTTTTTTAGTTTTCATAGTTTCTTAAATTAATTATTTTATTTTACAGTTGTGCCCCTTTATCTGAGGCATTATTTTAAAAATAAATAACTATTGCAGTCATTAAACATCAGTTCTTAACTGTGCTTGCTCATAACTATTAAGCTGAGTGAACTGTTTAAATTATAAAACTATAAATGTTCATTTTTCATCATTCGCCCCATTTGTTTTAGTAATTACCAATTTCCCACATTTATTAAAATTAAAGAAAAAATTCCTCTTTAGGCCTAATGATCCAACGAGCAGATGAAGTAGAATTCACATTTCTTGACCTCAGCATATTGAGGGATAATGTGGTCAGCACTTTGTCCAGCTGCCTTTACTTTCCAGGTACCCATCAGAACTGGGTGGACATTGCACTGCCTTAAATCCAAGTTCGAACTCGAGACTTTCGTGTTTCTAGTCTAGCGCTCTATCGTTTGACCATGCTGTCTCTTTCTCTCCTTACCACAGTATTTTCCTGGGTTCTTATTTTGAATCTTATCACTCTCTTTTGTTTTAGTTTAATATGTTAGTGGTCCGTGACCTTCAACCTGCACTTGAATCTGATGGACTTGTGACATCACATCCTGTGTATGTTCCGGTTGGTCATCCAGATGAGATCAATGAAATATTTGATTCTATATCTTACAGCAAGGTTTGAGTTTTTAATTAATTCTGTTGTGATTTAAAATGATCAATTAATACAATTTAATTTAACGTTTTACTTAATCAGGATATAACAACTACATAAGTATTATTTATTTTTTTAGGTTTAATAAAAACTGTGATTAAATTCTTTTACAGGGTTGTGCCATTATCAGAATGATGCTTCATTTTCTTGGTGAGGGAACTTTCAGACGGGGATTGAATGTAAGAACACTTATAGAACAAAACTAATGGAATTGACTTTGCCTTAGTATAATATATCAATAATCTATCTTATAACAATAATCTATCTTATAAAATTAATCAGCTGATTTAGTGTTAAATTTTCGTCACATATTGTTTCAGAGATATTTAACTAACCTGAAATTTGATGCAGCCTATCATGACGACTTGTGGACTGCCCTAACAGAGGTAAAACTAAACTTACAGACATATTTTTTAAAAAGATTTCCTTGGTTAAATTAATCTTCAGAAAATAAGAGTACGGCCTATTCTAAAATCCAATACATCTAAAATTTCCTTTAGTTTATAGGCAGTTGCTTTTTTTTGGGGGATATTTAAAAACAATTTAATTATCTATTTTCAATATCTTTTTCATCTATTAACAGCAAGCTTTAATAGATGGGAAGCAGGGCATTGATGTAAAAACTATAATGGATACATGGACGCTTCAAATGAATTATCCTGTGGTCACGGTGCTACGCAGTAATGTCTCTGTTACAAAGTTACTGGTATCTCAGAAAAGATATCTGGAAGATTACAATGCAGTTGATCCTGGCAAATATGTGTCTCCTTTTGGGTATATTTTGGTTTATCAAACATTATCATGCTCATCATAATCATTCCTGTTGACCACTGTTTCTGATGAACATAGGGATGCAACCAACACTTCTCCATCATACTTATTTCTGGGTGATTCCTCCAAGTTGGGTCCACGATATTTTCTCCAACAGCTGACTTTAAAAAAGTTTATTTTGGCCTACCTACTTTCCTATTTCCTTGAGAATTCCAATCTATAGCGTGTCTGGTGATGTTGCTAGTTGGTTTACGCATGATGTGTCCAATTCATCCCTATTTGCGCTTATGTATTTCTTTGCAAATAGGTTCTTGTCCAGTTTTTGGCTATGTTTAAATATTACATGATAATACTTTGATGTCGGTGGGATAACTTATACAAATATGTCACTATTGCAGCATTGTTCAATTATTTTAATAAGAATATCTGTTCTTGTGAACCTTAGGGACAACTGGGTGATGACACCCTGTATATATGTAGATACCGCAAGGACACCTGTAATAACTGACAGACAGTACACATATAGTGACAGCCCGTACACCTGATTTATTTCTCATTACTTAATGGCTCTTAAAAATGAATAATATTATTTATTGAAATGGTAATTCCTGTATTCATTTCAACAAACAGTTACAAATGGAACATCCCAATAACAATCACAAGCAGTGAGAATCCAAATTTTAATCAGACAGATAGAGATGTTCTTTGGCTTCATGCTCATGAAGAAAGAAGTAAGTATATTGTTTAAATTTTTAAATTTTCTTAGCATTTTAACATCTTCTCTATGGATAAGCTGTGTTTGTCAATTATTTTAATATACAGCCCTGGTAGTCTATGAACTAAAGTTCATATGTTTCTGTGTGCTTAGCATATGATGGGAAAGTGTATTATTTATGATTTTTGTCCTAAATTTTAAATTATGAGTTTTGTTTATCATGCATCTTAATGCAATAATTTTAACCAATTGAAAGAGCAAATTGACTACAGCCCACTTCCTAAGGCTTATAATACAAATGGATGGATTCTTGCAAATGTTGAAATGAATGGCTTCTATAGAGTCAACTATGCAGACAGTAACTGGGAAGCTTTATGCAAACAGCTAGTGAATGATCATATAGTAAGGCTTCTATTTCATTTTTAACTGTCTTACATGTTTTACAATATAGTAGGAGATGTTTTTAAAATGGTTGAAATATGTACATTTTTTAAAATTCAAGATTCTCACATTTACCTTTGATAAGTATACCAAAAAATCATTTTCTATTAAAGTCAGGTAGATAAAGTTAAGTTCAACTATTATTTTGAATGCTGTATAAAGTGTTGTTTGTTAAAAAACTAGCAGCTATTTCAGACCAATTGAAAGACACAAATTATGTAAGCATCTTTGGAGGATGTGGTTATTTGTTATACAAAACATGTATGGTATTTTACTCATACCAATCAGACCTCAATAATACTGCTTTTAATGAAAAAAATGCTCTAGGCCTATGTTGAGTTTATTTATTTGCTTATTTATAGTGATTTCAATATTTAATTTGCATTATTTGTTACCTTTGTAGGTATTTCCAGTAATAAACAGAGCTCAGATAATCAATGACGCTTGGAATCTAGTCAAGTATGTCTCAAGGCCTTATCTTTTTTCTTCAGCTGCTCTGATTTCCTACCTTTTGTCCCTAATGGAATTTTTTGAAATACATTTTAGACAATTACATAAATTTTCAAATCTGCAGATCAATTAAAAGTTCTGTGGGTTTTTTTAAAAAGTATTTCTTTATTGCATTTTCAAGTTTGATTTTGTACCAAAAGCAATGGGTAGTTTTGCTAGGATAATACTCAGCTTTAGTTTATATGTAGTTAATGTTATTTAGGTAAACAAAAGGTAGTTATGATTTGCACTGGTTTTACATGTATGGTTATAGAAATAGAGAATATTTACTTAAGTAAGTCAGAATTTTTAAGTGTATTTTTAAACTGAATTATCGTTTATGTTTTAAAAGTAAATCTTCATGAATGTGTTTTGATACAATAGATCAGGTGACTTAAAACTGAACATTGCATTGAAAACAATTGAGTACCTCCATAAAGAAAAAGATTATGCACCATGGGTTGCTGCTAGAACAGAACTTCTCTACACTTCAAGAATGTTGGCTGTCACTCCTTTGTTTGGACTCTTCCAGGTTTTACAAAAATTTCAGAGCTAACCAGTTGAAGCATAGAAAATTTATTACCTAAATTGTTTAAATGAAATAAAAAATACTTCTAACAAAGGCAATCTAAAATTTATTTTACAAATTTAGCAATTTAAAATTGTAATTTATTTTTCAAATTAGCACATTAATAAATGTGTGATTTGTCAAGAAAAATCTGTAAATTATTGTATTTCAGAAATTTATGCAAGACAAAATCAACAGCTCATTCCAGTATTTTGGTTTTAATAACACAGGATCATCTCATACAGAAATGTAAATATTCTTATCAAATCTTATCTTAAAATATATTTAAAATGTATATATGAATAAACACACATATTTATGAATATTTATTTATTTATGTAAAAACATGTAGGCAATTTAAAAACAAAATATTATTGATTAATTTTTAAATGAACAGTTTAGCTCGAAGCCTTAATGTTAATATAGCCTGTAGCTATGGCATACAAGCCTGTCTAGATGCTGCTCAAGCCCAATATAAACAATGGATGTCAAACCCAACTACAAACAAGTATGAGTACATTTTATTTTTTATTTTTATATTTTTTTCACATAATTATATCAACTTAATATTATTATCTTTGTATTTATTAAGGTCATGTTACATAATTGAGCAAATTTAGTCAGTGCATTGTTCCAAATTAAAGACTTGTATATTTTTCTTTCCTTGTAGCATAGACCCCAATTTTAGAACCACTGTATACTGTAATGCTATTGCAAATGGTGGTTGGGATGAGTGGAACTTTGGTCTTAAGGTAATACTAAGTTACCAGAACTCACTGAAAACAAGACAGGTGTACTTAGTTGATCACACTTGTTTTAAAATTTGAAAACAAATTTTAGTTTTTTTACAATAGTTTTTTTTTTAACGTCTTAGAAAGTAGGCCTACTTTTAGCTTCTACCTTTTATTTTTAACACCAGATGTACACTGAGTCAGATTTAGCCTCAGAGAAATATAATCTGCTTGTTGCTCTATCCTGCACAAGACAACCTTGGATACTAAACTAGTAAGATAAAAACAAAGAAATAGTTTAAATTTATGAGCTAACATATGAGAATATTTAACAGTACATTACCAGAATACTAGATATTATACTGTTTTTGGTTTATTATGTTGACATATGTTGTGCACATCATCAGTTCTGATAATGCTGAGAAAATTTCTATGTATGTGCATAATTTAAATAATTTAAAAAAATAAATAAAATAGTTAGAGTAAATAATTTCAAATTTACTGTTCAAATGTTTTATAAAATTATAATAGTAAACAAAAATTACATTAAGAAAAATTAATAATTTAAAAGAGGGATTTCTTGCAGCTATATGTCACTGATCTTTGAGAAAAACTCTGTAATTCGCAATCAAGATTCTTCCAAGGTTATCCTACTTGCCGCAACAAACACTGTTGGCAGATCATTGGCCTGGAACTTCTTTAGAGCAAACTTCCAGAAACTAAAGGATAAGTATGTTCTTTTCTATGTTCTTTTCTATGTTCTTTCAAATTTAATATAGAAAGTTCCTTTATATTCAGATTTATTATTTTGCATTTTACAACTGCAGAAAAGTGTGAAATTATTTTGATTGTTTTGTATTTCAAATTGATAAAATAACTAAACACTTAATATTGATCCACTTTGCAGATTTGGAGGCTCATTTTTTGCTTGGCCTGCGTTGATAGATTATGTGACTAGTGACTTCAATACAGAATTTGAACTCAGTGAGGTAGGGTATATCAATTTGTTATTTTTTATCTTCTTTTTTTTAGAGACGTCTCCTGCACAGCTTAAAAATAATAGGACACTACATGTTTTAGGAATGAGTAATAATTCATGTTATGTAAGATTGTTTTTCTTTTAAATATAAATATTACTTCTTTAAAGTTAAATATTTGATACATAGGTAAAGGCATTCAAAGCAAGCCAAGAAGGCAAATTTGGTTCTGGTGAGAGAGCCATGCAGCAAGGCATTGAGAAAATTTCTTCCAACATCAAATGGATGGAAACTAATCGGGGTGTCCTTAAGACTTGGCTAGAAGATGTCACTTCACACCACACTGGATAAACTTTTACTTTTGAAAAATTTTTATACTTTGTTACAATAGTTATTAATCATGCTAAAGTTTTTGGTAATAACATGAGATATAATTTTAAAAGTATAAACATTGTATTTTTCATATGTTGTTTAAGACATTCCTTGTTATATTTAATTTGAACTGCACATGTATTTAGATAAACAGTATTAAACAGTTTTTCATAAAATTAATTTCATTCAATAAATTGAGTGTTTTTATGAACTAATGGATTTTAAAATATTTTCATTTCATGGGATCCACAAATTACTGCAAGATGCTTATTTCTTTTTCAACATCATAGATCTTTTTGTGTGCTGTAAGAAATCTGTGTTGCATCTAATGTTGCCAGTTATTTTTTTCTGTTTGTGATTTGCTGTACTCAAAATGCTTTGTTTGTTGACATCAATAATTTTATTTACCAGATCCAAATGTAACTAACAATTGACATTTCTGTGGAAGCCTTAAATGAGTGACCCTAACTATCAGTTTTTTCGTCAAGGATCTCTTGGGGGGGGGGGGGGAAGAATGTAGAGTTTCTTCTAGGCATCTCTTCGGGGGGGGGGGGGGGCTCTAACTCCCCGAAAATCGTCTACCTTAATGAAATAGAATTTGTATAGAAAATATATACTTTTACCAGTGAACGACTTCTCCGTAAGTTTTAGTACGCCCCCCTCACTGCCCCATGAAAATATAAGAGAATATGAAACATGTATTTTTAGATTTTATTGAAAAGAGTGAAACTGTAACATGTCATTATTAATAGTTTGCATGAAAAGGTCTGTATTTTGGTACCTTAAAAGCCTAACCTCAACCATAGAGGCGGATAAGGAGTTGTTTTTATGGTGTTCGTTTAAATTTGAAGTGTCTAGACGTAGGTCATAAGTGGCGGGGCTTAACTTTTCGCCCATAAACTTTAGCATTAGTGAGGGGGCTTATCTTGACAAGGTCCCTTTCATTTTGTCATGTTCCATAGGAAAATATTTATTTTTTCATGCTACAACGACAACAATGCATAGTCATTTTTGCTGTCGTCTATAAATCTATATGAATGTTCGACAAATCACCGACATTAAAACCCGCAAGTTGGGATAAATTAAGCATGAACACATCGTCTAAAATCCAGAGGAAGAAAATGGGGGGGGGGGGGGAAGAAATAAGGCGCAACCCCACTGGAGGAAGACTTGGAAGCAAAGGCTGTACGACTTACATTTTTAAATGGGCCCAACTAATAACAGTCACCCAATACCGAGTCAGTTGGAAAATTGGAGTAGCGGCCCTTTTGTTCCACGGAGTTCTCATTGCGTAAGGTAATATGGGTTTAAACAGATTATACCGATGCCTCGGGGCTTATATTAGCTTTTGCATCAGGAGATCAACTATAAATGTCAATGACGTCACACCCCGGTATTAATATAAATAATATTTAACCCCCCACCCAGTCCGTCAGAAAAAGTCATACTTCAGAACACCTACCTACTAGGCCTACTTTTCTCTTGTTAAAAAAAAAGAGATAACATTTTTAAAAAGAAAAATTACAGCTTTTTATTAATATTGCTAACTTTGCTTTCTTTTTTAAGAACTCGCTTTCATTATTTACTAGTATTTAATAGGCCTTACTGAAAGGCAGTAGCGTAGCGAGGGGGGCGGGGGGGGGGGGACATATGTCCCCGGGCGCCGACCTTAGGGGGCGCCAAAATGGGTTTGAAAAATAAATTGAAAGGTTGAGAGGGGTGCAAATCGAAAGTTTGGGGGGGGGGGTGGAAATGGAAAAGTTTGTCCTCGGGCGCCGGGAAGGGTCGCTACGCCTCTGCTGAAAGGGGTCTATGCAAAAAATACGACCATGTTGTCTTTATAAATATTAAATACAAAGACAATTTATGTTTATTTTGTAATTCTTAATACATCTGATACATGTGTTGAACATCTTCTGAAAGCAAAAAATGCCAAATATCTTGATAATTTGGAAAAAATATATAGGGATAGTCCTCTAAAACCTAGGTCTTAACCTAATCTGAGCACAAAAGGCATGATTAAAATTGCTAATACGCCTTGTTTGGTAATTAGTACCACGGGTACGTTTTATGGGCTTAGTCGACTTAAATTCAAAGAGATTCCTGATTCATGTTTTAAATCAACCAACTGTAGAAAAACAAAACGTGTTCATAAAATAAAGAAGAATGATTTGGTCAGCATCGTAGAAATTACAACATACGCATAAATAAGTCAAGGCACGGCTAGAAAAACAGTCTAAACATTACATCGAACACTGACCAAAAAAAAAAAAAACGGACTTAATGCTTTTCTTTCTCGTAGTCATTTATTGCACCCGTTATACGTCTCCGTTATCAGTGGCGTCGCCAGGTCGGGTGTCACCAGGTGCGGCACCTCATGGTATCACCTCCCCCCTTATTAATTTTGCATTTGGTTTCCCCCCTCCCCCGGTAAAAGCTTTAAAGTGTTCATATTTAATACTAATGATGTTTATGTATAGTCGTTGTTAATTCATATGGGTGTAGCAGTGTAGCATTGTTTTCTCTATAGTTTGCAAATTTACGTCATGGTGTTACCTACCTCTCCCTTCTCGTGATCGTAAGCATTTAAAATATTTTTTAACTGTAATTAACCATTCAGTGAACTGGCAAAACATATTTGTTCTATATATCTTGCAATTTGCTTTTGTGTCGGTGTCACCCCCTAAATACTTCTTGGTAAACTAGCACAATTCTATTACACTCCGTTATGCGTCTATGTAAACTTGCACTATTTTATTGCACCTCGTTATGGGTCTAGGTAAACTTGCACTATTTTATTGCACCTCGTTATGGGTCTAGGTAAACTTGCACTGTTTTATTGCACCATGTTATGCGTCCAGGTGTACTTGCACTTTTTTATTGCACCTCGTCATGCGTCTAGGTAAACTTGCACTATTTTATTGCACCCCGGATATATCAAAGTAACCCCGCCCTATGCTTTCACGAAAGAAAAAAACAGATTTACGATACTGAACTTCGGAACCTTGTTTTAGAGTTCACAAAGTTATTTATAAAAAATTTACCAGTAGCAGGGAGATAACTATGACGTAATTGTTTCAGATTCACCCACTTTTCTTGCCATCCAGACATGATACTGCTTGGTACGACTGAACTCAGGGGCGCATGTACTATGTATGCAAGGCCTTGATGTATAAATACAGAACACTGCGCGTTTTATTCTTGCGTTGAGCTGTAGCTCATAGATCTACAGGTAAGAGAATTTAAGAAATTTGAATTACATAAGGTTTAAAAAATGCATGCGAGATTAATTTTTCCTCATGCGTAATTTGGAACTTTTTTTTTTTAAAGCACAGGTAACTGCTTTTCTGCATTTTTTTTTGTTTAGCTTTCTTCCGTGAGTTAAATTTATTACGTAATAGACCTAGGTTAATATGTTGTGCGGCGGTATTAAAAAAAATCCAACCGGCAACTAGATCGCAGTGATTCATTCAGACTATTTTTCCCCGGGGTGCACTTAAAATTTTAATAAAGGGAATGGAATACATTTTCCGGGGGGGGGGGGGGGGGGACACTAGTAAAAGTATATATCTTCTATATAATTTATATTTCGTTGGTTGGGGGGGGGGGAGTGTTAGACGGATGCCCGAAAGAAACTCCGCTAGATCACACAACCAGGAAACAAAGTTACCTTCACGTTTGTCTCCACACTTTCGTATCCAGACATCACCGACTCTAGCAACCCTCATTAGCCAGCCGGTCTGGTATAGAACGTTACTAGTGGCGTCAACTGGTTTGGGTGTTGATATCGTTCGTGTTTTTTATTAGCAAGCCCGCGTTCTACCGCTGGACCATGCGCCTCCACCAGATCTGTTTTTCTATATTTTAATCTAAAACAAATTATTTGTAAAGTATAGAACACAAATTATGCCTCTATTAAAAAGAAATCGGACTATTCGATTACAAAT